CGTTAATCATTACAAGCTAATTACGATTAAATTTAGAATTTCAATTTTTATCATTTTTTACGCATATTGTCGCTGTCGCGTGTCGCGTGATTTAAATATCCTAGAAGAAGCATACTTCTGAGACAACAATATTTATTAAAGAGAATTCTATAAAATAGTGATAATTTCCCAAAAATCGTTCTGGCCCAAAAGAATAACTGTGTGATTGGTCTGTGTTGAGTTTTCTTAAATAGTTTTATCGTGCTCTGTCTGGCTCGCGACTTCGCTTCCTCGAAGCAAGGGAATAAAGGAAATAAGTTTATAAATAAACCTTTATAGATCAACAAATTAACGCCGCACTAGCAAACCAATAACTCTATATGTACGTAGGGATCGTAAAAATCAACATAAACGAATCTGGGTTATTTTTATTGATCCATTATTACGCCATGCATTTTATTGAGTTCCCAATTGTGGGCCAGTTTATTCACTGAATAGGTCAACGGGCATTGTGCTGTTGCAACTACGGAACTTTAGACTACTTGGTATTCATTTTATTAATGGTAATTGAAAGTACGCAAAGGTAAGTAGTACTTAGATTATTTTAATAACAAATGAACTTGTAGGTAACGCTTTTTTTCATTTATTTTTAGCTGTTTGTAAGCATTTGAAATACTGCTAAAATTATCAAGAATCTATAGAATCAAGAACGTAATATATTTTATTATATTAATTTACCGCATTTCCTTTAATTATTTTAATATGTTAGTAGTAATGTAGTAATTGTTATCTTCTTTATTATACTTCGTTTCTCTATTTTATTTTAACATGTCAACACGTCGCTTAAAATATTTTTTTCTCCATTTTTTATGAAAATTCGTTTCATTTTTAGTAACGTATAGCTACGGCATTATAAAATAAAGTCTTTTTGTTTAAGTAGTTTCCTACGCAACACCTATAGGAAAATACAAATCAATAAACCACTTAACTTGCGCGCTGGCATGGATTCCGGTGTATTTATATCGTAAAAAATTTATTACCGTAAAAATGGGAAGTAAATCTATAGACGAATTCATAAATATTATCTTAACGCGGCCGTCATATGCCTGTCTATAAAAATAGACTTCCTGCCTTGTATTACCAAACAACGGGGTTCCTACCAAAGGAACTCGAATGAAACTAATTGCTTACTTACAGTCGAGTGCAGACTAGCTTGTTACATCTTACGATAATCGATAAGATATATGTTTAACCAGTTTTATCAGTTACAGAAGGTACAGCTTAAAATTACAGTAACATCTAATTTACTAACTACTACTAAATTAAAAATCTGATCTAGGTAGAGCTTATTTTTGTAAGTGTTAGAGTCACGTGACGAATTTGTGTTTGACGCCTATCGACTTGAAAATGAGCTAGATGAGATTCGTAAACTCGAAGTAGTGGTAAGGTCAGCGAAATTTGGGTTGTTGTACCGGAACGTAAACACTCGTAGAACGTAGCTGAGTCACGGTCTTACGGCACAACGGCGTTATCTGTTGGCTAATTAAACGTGAGAAATATTAGGCAAACGGGTTACCGTTGCGGAGTTATCACACAACACAAACATAGCCTTCGTATTTACTTAGGCAGTTCCATGTTAGAAGGCAAACTATTTGGTTTCATAATAATAAGCTTTCTTATCTGACTTTGCATTGAGTATTCGTTGGTTTAAGTTTATTTTTAATTGTATAATTTCAGTTTTAACAAAACACACACATTTTTTATTTATTTTATCTACGACACAAGCTGCAGCGAGCCATCCGAAGCGTAGCGTGCCGTCGGATCGTAAATATTTAACTGATATGTTTCACGTTTTAAACCGTTATTTATTTTTTTTGTCTTAATCATTAATAGTACTTTTGGCTCCTAGCTATCTAATTTAATCATCAGATCCTATTATTTATTATTATTATATTAGATAAAAGATTTTGCCTTCCAAATTCCTTGTGTTACTTGTGTCAAAAGAGTATGAAATATGTGCAGTTCTGTGGCTAGTACATTCCCAGGCATTTATTTTCATTACGCAACAAAAAGCACGCTTTTATCTATTTGCAGTTTCAACTACCTTTAATTGATACCGTCTCTCCCTCCCTCTCAGACGAGATTAAATAATCACACCATCTCGCTCGCACGCGAATCGCATGCAAGTGGCGTACATGAATGGTTAGTTCATTCACGATGCCAGAAAGGTCAAATGGTTGATTCAACTTGATAAATTAAGACCAACTGCTGCCGACCATGCGTGAGGAGAAATTACTGGCAAAGCCGGGTACACACTAGCCAGCTGTAATAGCAACATTTATTATGAAATTTGGCCAAAACGGGCTCCTTATTTCCAACATTAATGACACCGGCGGAACTAGAACCTACATTGGTGGTTATATTCCTTCATGTCCTAATTAAGATGTGAATCAACTTTATATAGAAGGAATGTACCTCCGTTTAGTCAAAACAAGACACTTGATGATCTTTTATTTTAATTTAATTTTAAGCTGAGGTGCGATCGGGTGCAGCTAAAAGATAGTACATATTATAAATTACACGCAGATTGAAAATGTACTCTCGACGTTCTCTCGAGAATGTAATGACTTTCCCTGTCATTGTCCAGGAAGACGGCTAGTTCCGTATAGATTGTAATTTCATGTAAAATAATGGAAAACTGATTTCTATGTAAATTGCCATAACGACCGACGACGCGTGACTTATAAAAAGTGCTGTTTCAATTGAGAATAACAGCCGCACGAGCAAAACAAACCATTTATTGCGAGAGACAATACGACTTGTGTGTGTTTCTTTGGCATTTTCATGAAGAAAATACTTTCTTGTCGCTGGATCTTCAACATTTACACATTGAGATACAATTACAAACTACAATATATTGTCTGTAGTTTACGTGAGCAGTACACATTTAAATAAAATACTTTAACGGTTTAAAACGCGATATATATTAGTCAAACTTTGCAGTAGCCGTGCTTACGGGGAGACAGTCTCTCCGTCACCACGACTGCTGCAAAGCATCTGAAACGTCGGGCCGTAGTTAAAATAATTTTCAAATAAGTTTAACTTGTATATGATATATCGCGTTTTAAAACGTTAAAGTTTTTTATTTAAACTACAAAATAAACAAACGTTTTTGCCAATTCTTTCTTCCTCGTCATTTCGTTTTCCTTAATTTAAACTAGAAGTACGAATAAATGATTGGCATTTATAAAAATCGCTTATATATTGATTGCATCGTAAACTTGAAAGTATAGCAAACGTTGAAACATAAAGAAATAGGCCGACATTGATACTGCAATAGAGAACGGATTAAAAACGAGATCGTCTCACATGCATGCGACTCGCATAAGAACAATCGCCGAACAAACAAACATACGGACGGATATGACAACTGTATTGTTTTGTTTATGGCCGCTTGTTATCGTGATTTATTGATTTTTCGTTACAGACAGGACGGCGGTCGCTCTCGTAAAAACATTATCGACCTGTACTGTAGGTAGACATTATTTTCAAAGTGGTTATGTCTAAGATCATAGGTAAAGAAGTTACTACTACTATTATTGTTTTGGCCGTCTAGGTTAAGCGTCTTAAATGCTGAGAAATGCTTTAATAAATTTTAAAATTAAGATTAAGTCGTGGATTACTCGAAGCGATTAAATATAGTTAACAGAACCCATCTTTTTCTCTTCATAACTTTGGTCATCGTGTTTGCCCCGATCCGTTCCACTCGCAGCATTGAGCCCTCAAACGGGACTTACGAAGCGTTGGATCCTCATTAGCATACCAATAAATACATAAATGAATGAATCACGCGTCTGCTCTTTCGTGACTGTCCTTATTTCATCTCCTTGACATCAATCAAAGGTATCATCCGCCCCCTATCACTTGCTTTAACATTAGAGTGCAATTACCGAAACATCTCAGTTTTGTCAAACTGCACGTAATATGTAATAATATTGGTGTGATTTTTCACAAGAGTATCAGTTATTGAAATCAGTCCTATAAGTGGGTGAACTGTAGAAATAAATATACTAACAGACAGACAAGACGACTTTAACACATTAGAGCAATGGAATGTGCCAACTTTAGAAGTTGGTGGTATCTCGCATATTGCAATATTCGCTTAACCTATTATACCCCCAGTACACGTTTGATATTTAGGACAAAGTTGGAATTACCCTTCTTTCTCATCGTGGTTTTATTCTTTATTTTATCACCTTTATTGTAAGCTCATAGAAAACTAAATCCGGAAACCATAGAGCACACTATTTTTACCAACTTCAAATTATGCTTTATTCTTATTCTGCTATTTTTCGAACTCTCGGATTTCAGATTAGCGTTAATCTTGAAAAAGTTGCTTGTAGTACATAAATAGGGATAATCGTCAATTTTCAGTTTTTAGCAACCTGTAATGTAGAGTCGTGTACGCGTAAGGCATTCAAATTATTAAAAGACTACATTCTTCATTATTCCGACCGAAGTTTGACTTCTAATTTGCAACGTCATTCGAACCCGGAACCGATACGTTGGCGTCACCCGCCGGAAACCACCGAGTGTTATTATCATTAGGTCATCTTATGACATTACGATCGTAATACTTCTAATGTCCAATCCTGCAATGAAAGTTTATCATTTTGTTTAATTATGTCAAAGTAAATGTTTGTTAAGTTACATATATACGAACGACGAACGAGTAATAGCCCTAGTCAATACAACTCGCATAAGACGGAAATGTGGTAATTCTATCCGCTCCAGACAAACAGACTGTTATTGATGCACAGATAACGTTACGTTGCAAATTGACTTCCTTCTTGTTCTGCTTTTAACCTGCCCCCTTCGATTATATACGATTTTAGTTGAGCTGAATTATTGGAAAATAACCCATACTTTGCTTACTTTACTCACTTAGATCGTACACATATTTTTAGATATAATAATCATTAGTATAACACTTTTTTATATTGTTGTTTCTTTCTTTTCAGTGGATCACCCCAGAAGAATGCGAAGTATACTCAAGGGAGCGAAGGCCGCCCCTCGTCATCCCAAGAATCACGCAGTACCGCCCGCCCAGACGAGATCAGCGGCAGCATTATCAAGAGGTTTGCTTTCGCTTCTTTTCTTAAATTCATTCACACAATTTTAAAGTAGAATAGTAGAACCAGTAGTTGATTTGAACATACTACGTGCCACGTTCGGCGTCCACCATCCTACAGTCCCCGGAATAGTACAAAAGATGATTTGCAAACTATGGTCGAGGCGGTCTTTCGCGCCAAAAGCGCGTGCTAAAACAATTACTTTTAATTATGCGCGCGAATACAATGCTCGCTTTCAAGATGGCGGCGCATCCGGCCGTCAATGATTGAATGAATTGATTCGAATTTTAATGTGAGAGTCGTTCATTGAATTCGCTTTCTTGTCGATGGTCACTTTTTAAAATATAGATTACATAGTCTATAATATTTAAAACTCGTCAATATTATCTTACGTTAATTTTTGTATTAATTACGCGGTTATACAAATACTATTTAGTGTATAAGTGAGAAAATCTATAACCGACGTTACTCTTTAAATAAATATTGAATTGATTTCAATAAAAGTTCGTAAGTGGTGACTTAATATTATAAGACACACGAGGCAAGACTCCTAAGAGGCGGAATCTTGGGGAAAATATTTTGTTAAATATTTATTTCCTAAAGTTATAGATCTACTTATTATAATTTAACCATAGAGATTATATACACATGTTTAATAAATGCTTTTACTAGTACTGCATATAAATTAAAATAAAATTATAACATGCATTGAGGTATATCGGAATCTTGTGCGCAAAACGGTTGAGTCACAGACTGGCGGGCCTTATCTATTCTAATAAGTAAGGCCCCTTGTGCTTGCTACATATAGAGCGTACTATGCGTTGTCACTATTTTAAACAAACATAGAAATGTATGGGGGATCGGTAATCTACTAATTTCACAGTAATCGTTTATCCTTAACTGTAAAACGAAGCATCGAAGGGGGTTACTTTGTATGGAAATAATGGAAAAAGGGATGTAGGACAGTTTTTGTTGAAAGGAAACTCTCAAGGAAATTCAATATAACGCAAGATAAGCTTAAATACTGGCTCAAAACACCACGTACTTGAACTATACATTATTAGAACACGTATAATTGCAATAGTTTCAATGAATTCCGCCACAATCAGAGAACGTAATAAAACGTGCGATAAGAAACATATTTCCCAACGAATCGCCCGATAATACAATACTGATAGTGATGTCAAATATCGATGATTTAATCGATGTACTCATTATATTCGATACTCGCTTTATACTAGAAATTATTTACCTATGTTTACTATTTAAAAAAAATCTCGTTTCTTAAAAAAGTTTCGAGTGGAACTGGAAATAATGTTTAATCAAATTTCAAATGTGTCATTAGCTACAGACATTGTTGTTAATATTGTCTTGTAATAAATACAAACACATTGATTGTTGATAATAAACACTTTATGAGGAAAACCCATAAGATGAGGACAAAGTGAAATACCGAACTATAGTGATTGAAGTGTTCGTACCATCGATATGTTTAAAATAAATGAGCATTAACAATACAATGTTGTATTTTTTCAAAGGAAGTTTTTCAACGCAGTCTTAGAAGTTATTTTATTTGTTTTCTTCGTCAAGGCTGATAGAGTTTGAGACTGTCTAAAACCGAAGACGATTTTGAATAATCGAATGAAAAAGGTGACGATTTTAAAGAAAATATTCAATGACCATAGATAATACGCGATAAAATATACGATGCAATCGTGTGCACTAAATCACCACTGAACGAAGGTAATAAATTGCGAACAATGAACTAAATTTCCAATCGGACTCGTTACGACTTTACGACATCCAATTATTCATCGATTGCGGACGAAACTATCGACTCGCCTGAGTTACAACACTATTCATATCATTAGGCTACATGCCGCAATGTACGTGTGTCACGCTGGACGTTGATTTAAATAATTAATAAAGTTTTCCTATAAATTATTGGCATTATGTAGTGATTGTGAAATTTTAAAATGTGGACACAGTGTTGATAATGTTAAAGCGAACTAAGACTTGGTTTCGAGAGGTAAATTTCCTTTTTATTTCCGCTTTTAAGAATTGTCGTCGTCTCGCAATATGTTATATATTTAGAAAGAGACAGATATGTTTTAACTTAATGCATAGCACTATAATATAACAACACGGTTCAGTGGTTAAAGAACTGGCCAGTACCTAACCATACGACTACGACGACGGTAGCTGTTGTAAATACTTATTAGAAATGAACATAGAGGGTAAAAGTGTTAAATAAATGAGATGACATAATTTCCGAGTGATAAGGTTCAAGTCGTTTCAATTTCCTTTTCCGATTGTTCGGCCAGTGTGGGATGTACGTTTTGTATTTTAATTTTTTATTTTATTCAAAGAGTAAATTTTTTGATTTAGTGTTGCCCAAACAAGAACAAGACGAGATTAGCAGTCTTGGTCTTGGTCTTAGAAGAGTCTTCAAGTCTGCAATTACTATAGTCTATTACTTTTATTAAAGTTTACTTTAAATCCTAAAAATTTGAATTGGAAATTGTGAGCTTAATGAATATAGCATAGTAAAGATCAAGCAGATAATAAATAACTGAAGATTTGATAAGAAATTGAAAAATAAACCTATATGTCGTTTTCCATCAAGTAATTTTCTTAATAAATTTATGATTTATAAGTTAATTTGTAAAACTTAAAAAAAAAATTAATTAAATAATATTATTTTAAAGAAATACTATCTGTTAAAAAGAGATTGAACCTCAATTAATCAATATGTCAAATTTATATTTCGCTCCAAATTGTTTTAGATTTCAAAAGAACCCGGCGCTTATCATAACCATGTATTTCCGAAAAGCGGAAATTTCTTTGAGACTTTGATGCCGCATTATCAAAGTGCCGATGTTAAAATATTCACTAGTTTGATTTTAATAATTCTTTTATTCGCTATGTTTATGGTATTAGTCTAATGCGATAGGTCAGTTTTCATATTCTTTGATACAGTTTTTGCGTCTCATAGAATTCCTAACTCCTACTATACACCGAACTTTACACCACTCAGTGAAATAGCGCTAAGTCCAGCTGCAAGACGCAAGAGTCTTGCAGTATGTCTTGTTCTTGTCAAGTCTTGCACGTCAGTCTTGGTCTTGGTCTTCTAAAAATACGGTCTTGTTCTTGGTTTGGTTCAAAAACAACCAACTGAATTTGGGCAACACTATGTGAATTGCCAGCTCAGGCCTAGGTTTAAATTCCGTCTATGTTACATAGAATTACAGTCGGGCAGCGTAAGCATTTTTTGCTTTTAAATTACACATATACCGAGAGGAAGAGTCTTCTCACAAGTTTCGTCTAAAAATTAGTACAATACTGCAATTCAAACATAAGACATTGAACTTAATAAGCAAGTGTTAAGGTTGAAATTACATTCGCGCGAGGTGCATTATCAATAAGTTGAAAAAATTCACGATGAGGTGTAGGACTCGGTAGCGCAATTGGTAGAGCAACACACGGAAAGCTGACGATGCCGGTTCAAGTCCTGCCCGAGTCGAAAATGTTTTCAATTTATTTTCGATTTTTAAATAGTACAATACTATCAATCTCGTCTTTGCAGACGCACAGCTTAAAAGACGTGCCAGACCAATCATGGAACTGGTCCCCGACTTCCGAAAGGAGTCGCCTTGGCGTCGAACTCAACTCCAGGTTACAAGACAGTCCTCCACTATGGGTCAACAAGAGACTTGGTAAGTGAGAATTTCGAGAAATCTATATATGTATATGCTAGTAAGACGAAGAGTTTTTGTATGAGAAATTGTGTGTAAACTAATACAAACTAAAAATAATTCCAAAAATCTTCTTTTTTCTAGGTGGGTCAACCGAAAATCTTTTGGCGGGGAACCGGCGTCCGAACCACCTGCAGCTCCCAGCCTCCTCGTCCGGAGACAGCCTGGACGTGGAGGTTCGGGAGAAGCCCGGGTACAAGAAGGAGAGGAAGTCCAGATCAATGGTGGCCACCAAGCACAAGATGCAGCGTCCTCCTACGGCCTCGCCGCGGCCCTTATATCCACCGATTGAGGTACCTAGCCTTTTAACACATAATTTTAAATTAAACAAACGCAAATGTGAGCTTTTGTCTGCCATCTAGACTATATCTATTTCAATGTAATTTCCCAGTCAGTGGTTTGGACTTTTGACATTATCAATATACGCTCGTCGAAAGCTAACTTCGGCAATATTTTTCTAGGCAACAGTACTTTACGAAGCGCCGGTAAAGCGTACAAAGTTTTCCGAGGGTGGCAAGAAGAGTAAGAAAAACTGGACGGATTGCTATATGATCCTCACACCGACGGCTCTAGTGTTTTATAAGGACCAACGGACGTACTACGCTACGGTAAGCAGTAAGCTAACAGCCATTATTTATTTATCCACGTATAGAAAACTTACAGCTAGTAGAATAGGATGGGATAAAAAAAATATAATTATATCACAATTTAAATAAAGAATAAGTTTAACGGATTAAAACGTTCCTTTATCGTTATTGTCTAAAATGATTTCAGAAACTGCCCAAGCCGCTGAACGCTCCCCCCAGCCCCACCGCCCCGCGAGCAGAGCTAGTGTTGCCTCTGCTCAATGCACACGTGCTGCAGTGCATTCAGATGCACACGAGACGGTGAGAACTTTTTCTAGCCGAAGCCAAATTAGTCATAAACACGGAAAATTATTTTTAAAACAATTTGCTATTTAAAATGAAAAAAAAAATGTATATATGTAAGATTTGACTGCTACTTCCTCTTTTAGTTCTTCCATTTTTTGTTAATTTTTTATTATTTTTTTTTTGAATAAAGAATATAGACACGGCGGGACTGAATCCTCAGCATTTCGTGCTGCTGCTAACCAATGGAGCTACCGTGTCCTATACGTTATCATCGAATTTCTTCAAGCCATTGTGAAGTGCAACTCTCGCTCAATGAAATTTCACCTTTAACACTTACGTATCAAAGTTCAATCTGTTAAGCTTTGCTTAAGAAAACAATGAATTAGAAATTACAAACGTTTTCATTAACAGGTCAAAAATTCACAATTCTGACCAACGTATATTGAAGCTGGTATCCAACAATATTTTGAACGAATAGAGTAACATTCACACATATGCAATTAGTGACAAGTTTATCAATTTTCATTTATTTTTATCAAATGGCATTCCGGTTTAGAATAGTACTTTACCACGTTAGAAACTCAAATATCATAACAAACAAGCCTGCGTCACGACAAGAGACCACCCCGTCGTTGTATTGACAAATCCGCGTCATGAAAAGTGAAAGATGAGGCCTTGATTTGCGTCACGATTGTATGAACCCGTCATTTACGTATATTATGAACGTAAACCTTGAGTTACTTAGTGGTTGGACCTACCTTTAATTTAATATACATGGAAACTAAATGTATCAAATAATAATAGACTAATGTAATCAAAACAAGAATAGGTCGAGAAAGAATATCTATTAATATACTATGTCATGGACAGATTTACTCGTTCTCTGGTGCTGACGGTGGAACACGACCAGTACCTCCTTCAAGATGAAACGGAAGAAGGTGCCAAACGGCTTCTTAAATGCATCCAGAATGTTATTTATAAATTGGTAAGGGAAAATCATTGCATTTAATCAATAACTTTTTTTTCAATTTTGGATAGTAGAATAGCTTATAAATTTTTGTCTATTTAATTTTATTGTACTGGTGCATAATGTGCATATGCTGGCCAGCTTGACTTTTTGCTAAAAAAATGTAGTATACACACTGATTTTTTTAAAAATTGCTTACAAACGAATATCTACCCTAATTGAATCTTTGGCAGGGTCCACCAGCGCTAGACGATCGACCGAGTCCCCAATACCAAAGCAGCAATACCGACTTGGAAAGCCTCGGACGAACTCCGCCTGTCTCGCGGCACGCCACTAGGAACAAACAAAAAAGTCAGTATTCCCACTTACTTATACTTTTTTTTCAGCTAACATATTTTTTTTAGTTTATACCGGCTTAGGTTAGACCTCGCTGCCGTGTACGCGCTGGCTTGGATTAACGTTTTACACAATACGGGTTCCATATTATAACATCTGGTGTGAATGTACTTAGAAATAAAGGCAGCATAGCTTTTTAAATAAGTTTGAACATTTTTGTAAAAAAACATAAAGGAGAAAGAGAAGGGGTTTTTTATTATAACAAAAATCCCACTCATGTTGATAGAAATTATAGTACGTACGGTTGTAGCATTACAGTGTGTAAGACCGACGATTTTTGGTAGATTTTTTAAGGTTTGAGAGCAGTCCTTTTATTTATACCTTATAACCAGCTAGGCCTCGGAACAGTCTACGGTGGACGTCATGTTCGAGTGTATGTAGTGTTATCTCCGAGCTAATGAATCAACTTCCCGGTAAACCTATACTTAATTACGTTTTCCTCTTCGACCGCTTCGGTTTTACTCTCGTGCGAACTTCGGAGCGAGTGCTCGCGTCTAACTCAACATATTTAATCATCTCTCGTTTTTGTCTGTGACGATGGTGACCTAATAATGATTATAATGTCTTGTGGCTGTGTAAATGGATTTCGTCGTTTGCCCTCGCGTAAGATTTTATCTAACACAATTCAAACTCCACACTCCACAGATTGTGTGCAAATTGGTTGTATGCATGTGCTTAGTCACGCCCTTTTTCCAAAATGGCGGGATTTCAATCTGTAAAATACAGATCCTAAATGTTTAGGATTTTTAAATAAAATAACAAATCACTGTACTCATTTTTTAATCCCTATTGCATTTCTAATCACACTTTTGCTTCATCTAAACAAAGTACTTATTTTTTAGCTATTTAATTAATTGTTAACTACATTTATAATAAAGAAATTGTTAGTATACTTGTAAACAACAAAAATAAATGGTTTTATAACTTTACTCGCCAATAAACAAACAAAAGCTCAAAACTACATTTTTAAGTTTGTAGCTTAGAACGAATGACAACAAAAATTGTCCTGTGTAAGTCTTATTTGCCACCAGCATTTATTAGACTAATATTAAAAAAATAACTCAAATAAGTGTAAGGCAAGTGAATGACAAAGATAATGCAAAATTATATACCTCTCTTCTGGGTGAAATATTACTAAGACACAATGTTCGAAAGGGTATTTCAAAACGGTTCGTGCCATCGATATCTATACTAATGATAACAAATAAATTACTGCACCAGTACCGCTTTATCAGATAATTCATTACTGATACTGTTTCTTTATTAAACGTTAGTCCCGTTACGTCGTCGGCGACACACTCGTGCCTCTCGAAATCGAGAGCTGTGTTACCTGGATTGTCGCCTCTAGATATCCGATTCGGTGTTGCCACCGCATATGATGGATTATTATATAGTGCGAGCGGTTTCAGAAATCGGCAATTCGGATTTGATGGCGAAAAAGGGGAAAGTGCAACAGTCGAAGCTGAAAACCATTTTCGGATCGCAGCAACTGACTTACGTCGTCCAACGTAATTGCGCGCTCTAAGTGCTCGCGTAGGATTAGGTTTATCGGCGATGCCCAGATACCTGGATTGAGTTTAAGCGTGATTAATGGTGCTAAATTTCCGAAGCATCGTTAGAATCGTGTTCAAAGGTAACTGAATGGGAATGTAATTTATCTATAGTCGGAGTTATGGACTTGCGTTACGCTATTTATCTTGCGATATTAACGATAACGTTATCTGCTTTTTTCGACGAGTTGACAACTCAGTCGTAAAAGTTCCTCGCGGTAGTGAGAGTATCCCTAGTTCCAAATTTGCGTCACAATGAAGAGGAAAAAGTCAAGGTAAATGTGAAGATTTACCCTGGTTATATGTGAACGGTACGGTCGGGCGCAAAAAGTGTTCAACAGTTTTAGGCTCCAAACCATGTTAGGTACGATACCTATACATACTACCGTAATATTGGAATTTGCCGTGATTCATTTAACCTTTTTCTACGATTCAAGTAATGGCAATTTATTCCTAGTCGAACAAATAAGGAAAATTCGAAGTTTGGAATAATATTTAAAACGGTTGAACACTTTTCGTCTTCAACTGTACTTTGGAATGATGCAGTGTCGTGATTAATTTCTATGTGTTTTCATTGCCTAAAGGCGAAAATATTGTGTTAATCGTAACCAGATCTTCCACTTCTCTTTTCTCTCGTCTGGGACGTCGGTTATTCTTCTCCTATTCTCTACTCTAGCTTATCTCTTATGACTTTGCTTAGACCTTATCGTTTCGTTTCGTACTCGGTAATGTTACCCCATTGCTTATTTCAGCCGGAGGCAGTAGCAATGAGGATCTTAGTGACTCGACGGAAGTGTCGATTCACAAGTCTCACGTCCGAAGTAGACTGAAGAAGTTCTTTGCCAAACGGCCGGCCATGGAGGTACTCGTCAAGAAAGGCATCTACAAAGGTTGGAATAAATTTCATTTGGAGTTTGGAACTGCACTGTTTTAAAGCTTTTTTTGCACGCGTTTTATCGCTTCCGCTAATGATAATGTACATTCTAGCACGTAAGGTAAGTCGGAGTGTATGAACAAAATAGAATAGAAGTAAGGTAGAGTGTTTTATTTTACCTAGATTAATCCCTTTTCCTAAAACGGTGGACGGGTTTTTATTTCGGGTGATATTGGTAAGTCGCAAGAGATGAATCTAATCCTACAGCGAGCACTTAGATAACTATGATTATAGATTTAATTAGATTTGTAAGACTTAGTAATAGTAATAGTGGACTACTAATTAGTATGGTTTGGACTTGTAACAATTAATGGTACTGTTATGCTTTTCGTAGCTTATTCAGCCAAACGAGTCAGAGTGTTGTCTCTTTCTTGCATATCTAAGCAAGGAACATAATACAGAATGCACGGTTACAATGATCGAGCCTTCGAATAACTCATTCGTTGAATAGGCTGTAGATTATGCAATAACGAAATGCGTGTTTTTCTCATTTGGTGTAGAATTGTGTATCTACCTTAGCTGTAGGTAATAATTTGTATATGTATTAGTAGTTTGGTAATTGACTTTTCTTACTAATGACAATTCATACACATTATGTATTGTGAGTGTACTCGAAAGTCAAACTACTATATCATACATTTTAATGAATCAATTGATAATGATATGTTCAATTAGTACGAGGTAAGTGGAAATGATTGTTCCTTAATTTTCAATCTATCCACATTTACATTGTTACAAAGGAAGACTATCTATTTAGTCAGTCGTTTGGGTAGAGAGCTGTGCTAAAGTTTTAGACTGTACTTATATGTATCTGTATTTTCAATGAAATCATTATCAAATTTGTCCTTATGTAATTACAACGTATGTATTTAATATCTGTAGCTACAAAAACATATTCGTCGTACAAGTTATTCTGATGTAATTCTATCTGAATGGTGCCCACAGATGAACCGGTTTTTGGCCGCGAGTTGGAAGAGGTATGTCCCACGACCGGTCCCCGTGTCCCCGAGTTCGTCAAGGCGTGTGTCCGGGAGATCGAGAGCAGTGAGGAGAATATGTGCACAGATGGGCTGTACCGAGCGAGCGGAAACCTAAGTCAAGTTCAGAAGATCAGGCTTGAGGTGGGGTATCAGTACTAACTATAGTTGGGCTACAAGTATGATATTGTATGTATTGAGGCAGAGTAGCCTAACTGCGATTTTGTGACTTGACTTATTTATAGTTTTATAGTCTAAAAATGTTAATCTACAAGAGCACAGTGACTTGATATTGTTTACATAATTCTCACACAAATAATAGTACAAATTCATTTTTGCCTAAGTTATTAGCGCATTTTTATTTTCCTTCTTATTGAAAATCATGTTTTTCGTTATTCGGCCTCTCTGCCTCTAGCAGCCTCATATATCATAATAATTTTAAATTGTTTACAACTATAATTAATAAATCCTGTGGTGGAAGAATAATGGATCATTACGTTTAACATGATTCTTTTTTTCAGTATAATGTGACATAATTTAAGTAATATCGCATGTTATTATTGGAGCAAAATTGTACTCCATAGGTATTTACGAAAGTTTCATTCAATGCCGCCTTAAAATAGATTGTTAATAATTATCTATGGCCCTCAGGTGGACCAGAACAATTTCTCTGTGATAGAGAACACCACGGACATCCACGTGCTGACGGGTTCGCTGAAGCTGTTCTTCCGGGAGCTCAAGGAGCCTCTCATCCCTTGTTCGATGTTCGAAAGGGTTCTTGCGGCGTGCTGTAAGTAAAGCTTTTACTTGACCGGTCGAGGCAGAAATTTTTGAATTCGTTCATTCAAGCCTACGTTACTGCCTATGTGATCTAGGAAATTTGAAGTTTATGAATGAAAATATATATAAGTGCATATATGTAAATATTAAATAAATATAGAAAGCTAGGATAAGAAGAAAAAACGGACAAAATGCCCGCCCCTTCTTTATTTTTAGCTTATTGAAAACAGTGACTTGTATGGAAATGACCAATGTTTTTCGTCGAGAGTATATCGATTAATTTGTATGTGATCATATTTCCAGCTATTCGACCGAGAGAAGCAAGAATCAAAGAGTTCCGGGATGTTGTGCAGGCGCTGCCTCAATGCAACCGGGATACGTTGAAATTTATACTCGAACATTTATTAAAGTAAGGAAAACATGTATATTCTTACGAATATTTTTTCTTTTTGACAAAAAAGGGAAAGTTTAGACCAAAGGTTCTAGTGGTTGTTAGTGTGTAGATCACGAAACGGACGTAAACATTCCTTTGAGAAATTATCTTGAAATTTTAATAAAGACCTATTTTTTGTCGGTGTCTTAGCATTTTTGTTTTTACGTGAAATATTAATTTTTGAGGTTCATTAAAATATAATATGCATTACATTGTTAATAAGTTATATTTAACCACGAACAATGCTCCTTCAATTGCAGAGTAACCGAATACAGCGAACGCAACAGAATGCACACAGCGAACCTCGCCATCGTCTTCGGCCCCACTCTGTTGTGGGCCAAGGACCTGGGCAACATCGCCGTCGACTGCATCCAACAGAACAACGTCGTCGACATCCTGCTGAACGACTACAAGGAGATCTTCGCCGAGGACAACACAAAGGGCAAGAAAAAGGCGTGATCGATGTTCTCTTCGCAGAGGTGATAAAAGACTGTCATATGGTGGGACTTCTAGTGGAGTGCGTTCGCATAGAGTATAGAGAAAGTTAATATATTAAATCTTTAAGGCTGTATAACTTCAGAATACGAATAGTATTTTTATCTGTGACATCAAAATTATATTAATACATCTAAAATTGACATAATCTGTACGTCCCCGGTATTTGAAGAGCCGGTCCAGTGCTTCCCAATATTGTACCCTTTTCACGTAACGTGCTTGACGCTTTTAAACCGGGGCAAGGTATCACATATTACGGATGACTGTCAGTAGTCGCGTTAATGTATCCGTGTACGTATGATCTCCAAGGTCGAAGCAAAAGCCACAATAATTCCTCCGAATGCCAAAGTAGCCGTTATTCGACTTCTGAAACAATCGCGTTGTGATTTTCTGCAATTTACGAAAGACTGTCAGAGGCTAGGGGCGTGTTCACGTGTGATAGATTAAAGAGTTTATAGTTTCGGGGCCAACGATGTATATATCCTTGTTTACAGTAGGCTTGAAGCCGGCCGTTTGTGCCTTCAGCGATGTCATTGTACATATATTCATCATAGATGAACGTATTCGTAAAATTAGCGTTTCTCGAGTCCAATTGAAGACACATAGGTCTAGTCGTCGATAGAGTTAAAGACAAAATTCCTTTTAACTTTTTCAACTTACAAGACAGGTCGACATTGTTACAAATATGTACAACAAACGTAATCTGTTTTGTAGTTCTAATCGATATCGATTACCTAAATTTTGTCTAACAAATGCGATTCACGTATAAATCCGAACCGTTGTTTGATTCTTGCGCGACATGTATGGAACGTCTGTCTTTCTAAGCTAGAAACCAAAGTTGTGTATGTCGGCCGATAGTTTGTAATCAATATTATTTGTTGTTTAGATAATAAGAGTACTTGAAATATTGCTTGACATAGACAAAAGTTACATAAAATAAAGTATAAATATAATGTGGTTAAACGTCATTTCATTTGCCCCGTTTCAGATTATCCTCGGTATTCAATGTTTACTATTGTCTAATTTATTACGCTTAAGTATAATGTCTTGGAACAAAATTTAGGCCTTGTGAGGCCACTTAATGAAATTAACATCTTGAACAACAAACCATAGTAAGTAAGTATATGGAAAAGAAAACATGCTACTTGATAAAAAAACGCTTTATTCAAAGAAATTGATGTTAGTAGTTTTACAATGATGAATATTTTGTTTTTTTTTTATAAAACAGTCTTTTTGAGATACAACTCTCGAATTTAAAACCGAACAAATACGATCTGAAGGAATGTCATCCAACTTATACTTAACACAACGATAATATAACTTTAAAATGAGTATACAGTGGATATTCTTACACCAACGACAACAATGCACTTAATTAAACAATAAAAATACAGATATACGTAATTCCCAATGAGTTGTCGGCTGTGCTGCACCTACATTATTGTAATCTATATGTACATATACTAGTCATAGTGTTACACGTGTGATTCTCTATTACGAAGCTCATCTTTTGCTTAGCACTGAAAACGTTTCTTTATGTTGAACGAATCGCTTACTTTAATTGGCAGTCCGTCATAATTAAAATCATATTAAAAACCGAGAAGCGGAGACTAAGCTTTTTCTTTTCTTACAAAATTCAGTTTATTTCAATCGCAACAGCACAAAATATAAAAACCTTTACTGTATACAAATATATAAAAAGTGCTTAAAACGTTCCAAAAATGTGTCAACAATCTATTTTCTACATATGTACACGATGTATATCTACATAATATATGTATTTGCAAATAAACGCAAACGTCGAATCTTTATTAGTACGTAACAATCTACGTCTACTCGTACTTACCAAACACTTAATAAGCTCCGTGACAATAACGCCTATATTCACGATCGGACTACGTCTTATGCATGGCTCGAAAGCGTTTCAGCTAAATTCGGGTATGTGACAACGAAATTCCATCTTTTTAAAGTCAAGGCGAGCCGTAATATGATAAAGTTGGCCTCGAACGGGTCACGCGATTGTATAATACAAAGTGTACTTCAATTCCCATGTCACAGTAATTTTTCTCCGTTAAGCTTTTCGCTATTCGGGTCATATTTAATCTCGTTACAATTGGTTACAAGGCTCTTCGACCGCGTCTAACGTGCGGCGGCGGTCCAATGAAACACTCCGAACTAATTAGGAACATTTAATACAAAACAACTGTTAAAAATGATCAATCGGTCAACATCGCTATCACTATACTCGTAAACATATGAAAAGCCTCGCAGTCTGTCTCATCACCGACCATGTGTCCGCTACAAATAAGTTTTCGCTAAATCTCGTCGGACTCAGATCTGATGGAGTCGTAGTTGGACGTTTTGCTTCTGAGCATCCTGAGGAAGGAGCCGACGGCGAATATCGTCCGCCGGTGCCTGTGGAAGATACCCTGGTACAGAGCCTCCCGCAGCGCCTTCCTGTCGTCCGACATGGAGGGCTGCGTGCTCAACGCGATGTCGGAGTGCGCCACGATCGACTTCTGGTGCCGGAGCGCGTGCTTCTTCTCCAGCGACTTCTGATTCGGAAGACTCATCGTCGACTCTATCGACGAGTTCTTGGTCTTCCTCAGGTTCAGTATCTTTTTTCCCGACGACTGGGAGTCGGACGCCGATCTTACGGGAGCCAATTTCGATCTGTGCAGAGGGTTGTTGAAGCTCTCCGGGTGGACGGTCACGTCCACGGACTTCTGACTTATGGCGCTGGAGCGCGTCAGCGTTCGCTGCGAGCCGGACGGCTCCGTCCTCGGGGCCCGCTCCTCCGCCGCTCTCGGCTGCTCCGGCTCCAAAGCGATCATCGTCATTAATGATCGAACGGTACCGACGGAGCGACCGATCACATCATAGGCGGGCGGGACTCATCGGCGCTCTCGACCGCGGGCACGGCTAGGTGAAGGACGACGTTCCTATTATTCGGGATGTCGATGCGCGAGCGGCCTTCGCAACAATTGCTGAACGTTATTGTCGGCACATTGCTGTCGCAGTCGATTTGGACCGTATTCAAATTGTGCGCCAGGCGCTCGACGCTCGTGTCGCCGTCCACGGAGCCTCCTAGATCATCGGAGGGCGAGCTCATAGTCGGACCGAGCCATGCCTCGGCGTCACCGCGCTCGTCGTCCGCCGAGGGAGACGGGCCGCGATCCTCTCGATGCGTCGGAGACGCCGCGTCCCCATTCACTTGCAGACCGAACAACTCCGCCAAATTAACATTAAAAAAATTGCGCGTAGTCCCCTGTTCTTCGCCGGCTTGGACCTCTTCCGTTATAATCCGGTCCGTGATCGTCTCTATCTCTTTTTGAAGGACAGGATCGTCCTCGTAAAATTCCGAGAGGTCTCGAAGGTTTTCGAACCAATCGGTGTCGAGTAAGCTAGCAGACGGGTCCTTTCGATCGTCGAGGGCGTCTCGGCGGTACTCGTCTATGAGAGGTTGAAGGGACTCTTCGTGCTGGCGAAAGAGATAATGGTAGGCTTGACTCACAGCTCTGAGCGAGTAAGCGGAGCGCGGACGAGAGCTGAGCGACGGAGGCGCGGGCGCGAGGTTCCTCCGCCACACGTGGCCGCGTACTCGTGAGGCCGCTCGCTCCCACAGTATTGCATTAGAATTAAGAATCCTTTCAAAGTCCGACACTTGTTCGGCTTCGCTGATCTGCAGCAGCAACTTGTTTTCCGTCTCTTTCCCGCAGACGCTGCGGCACAGCCTCTTGTCGCCGACCTGTTTGGGATTAAAAGATCTATTATCGGATGTGGCATTGTACGGTTTGCGTTCGGAGGTTGAATGGCTCGTTCTGTCGACGAACGCGACGGGTATGGATAAGTTTTGAATGGAAACTGCGCACGGCGTTTTTGCGATCGCTCTTCTCTTCTGCTGTTTCACGGTTACAGCGCTGCTATGTTTTCGCTGTGGTTTGGCGGTTTTAATCGGCTTAGGAGCGAGATAAGCGTCTCGCTCGGCGCAACGCAAGGGGTCGGAGTCAGCGCTGCGAACGTTGCGTTCATATTTGGGACGAGATCGTTCAGCGAGGCAGACGCTCTTAGCTCTGAGCGAGCTTTCGAAGCGGAACTTTCGTTTGTCTGCCAGTTTGACGGGCGCAACCGTAATATCGAACGACGAGCGTCCGCCGAGGAGAGCCCCGAATGACTGCCGGTAAATCATGCATCGGTTTCTTTGAAAAGTCTCGCTGAGTGAGCGTAAAAAGTAATTTATCGTGTGGCGTGCTTTGCCCGATCGATTCGCGAAACTGTAAGACTATAGCGCTCCTCTACATAAAGATGGGCATTAAATTCGCGAGCACGCTCGTAACATGAATTTTTGGTAACGCAAAGCTATTGTTTTCAAAACCCACATACAGCGTATCTGCTATTCGATTTGTACTACCTACGTATTTGTCTACGCGACGCGACATGCTTCCAAACAAAAATCTTAAAAGAGTATAAGTCAATTTGAAGACGAAACATGTACCTAATTGGAAAATTACATAGATATATCTTAGTAGCGAAAATTGTATATTTTCATTTAAAAGAATTCCTTATCGAAAGAACCAAACCGCTTGCAACTACTATCTATACTCATATTATAAATGCGAAAGTAACTCTGTCTGTCTGTCTGTCTATCTGTTCGGCTTTAACTTCGAAACTACTGAACTATTTTAATTGAATTTTGGTACACAGATATTTTAAAGCCTGACAAAGAACATAGGCTACTTTTAATACCAAAAATAGTTGATAGGGGTTGAAAAGAGGATGAAAGTTTGTATGGAAATGCGTGATTATTGAAGCTAAAACAATGAAACTTTCTTCTTTAGCTTTTTGGGAATAGCAGTGGGAGTGAGAGTGTTGCGGCCAAGTAGCACTTACAACATAGCCTAACATTAAACAGCCTAAATAATTAAAAATTCTACCCGAGTCACTATTCCACGCGGACGAAGTCGCGGGTAAAGCTAGTAATACATACAACACGAACAACTAGTATAACAGAGTGTTTGTCATCCACGAGTAATAAGAATCTCAATTAGGACCTATTTGGCATCGATTGGGCGATTCAATTCTTTTAACCTCTAAATTAATATTTCGTACATGCGTAAGCGGTTCTAAGCGACGACACAATTAGAGAGGCCTTCGGAAAATCTACTGATTGATTGGTTTCAAATTGATTCATTTCTTTATGAATAACTAGGCTTAATTTTTGAAAACATTAATATTTTTCACATGAAGGCACTATATAATTTAAAAATCGAAAATAACTGACTCGGTAGCTCAATTGGTAGAGCAACTGACTGTGGCTGAAAATCTTGGATGAGAAACTTTCGGGTGTTCGAATCGTGGTCGACTGGTGAAAGTTTACATCCGTGTGCTGAGAATCGCCTTACGGTCTATATTTTCCACCAGCCAACACGCATTAGTGGGATTTATGAAAAGGCTACAACGATGCACGTTACATAAAAATCTAGTTCCGCATCACTCTTGACCCTTTTGCCATGAGAAAACTCTATCCATCTAGGTTACTGCAGTCTATCAATTCCACACCTGGAAGATTGCCAGGCACTTCTCATTAAAACTTGTTCTTCGTTTATCAGTAATTGCTGATAGATGAAAATGCAAAGCCTTTTAATTACTTAATTACAATTTTATTTACAGAAAGTGATATAGATAGTAAATATATCTTATTGTAACTGTATTCGTGTCCATTGTGTAATAATATAATATAAAATCCCTCACTCACTCACACTCGATCAAATACGAATATTGGAGCGGACATCTAGCGCATTTACTGACTAGAATTTTTATTGTCCGGTCCTTATGAAGAATATTGTCCCAAAGGGACGGCTAAGGAATTCCAATTTATAGAAAATGTTCCTTTAATTGTCTGGGGTCAAGTAAACAATAGTTTACCCAGTAATTTAATAAAGGGTTCTTACTTTCAATAAGATGAGAAAAAATGTTGTTTTATGTAATTTACTCATTTTAGTGTATTATTAATGTATTAAATGTACCTTTGTAATTAATAAATACCTATAGAGCATTGTGCCATAACCGAGATCTACTACAATATTTAAAACATTCTAAAACATCAATTCGTTTCGATAAGAATAGAATAAAAAAAGAAATTAGTTTGAAAAAAAATACGACTATAAATAAAGGCCTGGACTTGTCGTCCGGCATTCACAGTGTTCCGTGCTGTTGCTCCAACCGATTGAGCTACCCTTTCCTACCGTCGTCGTCACATTCTTTCAACATTGATACTGCATCTCTAACGCAATTTAATAAAAGTAAAATTCGATTAGAATAAGTAATTCCAATATTGCTCGTCTTTACCCTCCATTTTACGGCCCTTTGTCCTATCCATTGTGCCCTTTCTTTGTCTTTGTTTTATAAGGCACATGTCGCCGAGCCCCGTTTTTGCACTTTGACAATTGCACAGTCACTAATATTCTTAATTAATCCTTCGTAAACAAAGCGAACGTAATAATTGCAAGGAACCATTACAGTTTCAATGCGGTTGCGTCAATAATATCTGCGAATAGACAAGGTATATCTGTTCATTGTGTGTAATCTTCTTAAGTACGTACTTATCGCGAAAGTACGTCATTACAGTGTTGCATTGTCTTTTTAGTTTCTTAACGTCTTCAAAGGCCGTTGTAAATTTAACAGATACCTTCCTACCTACTTGATATAGCAAAATATAGTTGCAAAATGTAAAGCGTAGCAAAACCTAGTAATGAATCTGGCTTTAGTAGTCGGTATACCATATTAATTAGATATTATCATTTATCTATTTCTGGCCCGGGGTCACCGCAAATAGGCGTGTTCCATGTAATTAATTAATGGAACTAATAAATTAGTCTTGAAACTACAAAATCGACCTTCATAGGTCAGTTACCTATTGCTTCCCAATTAAACGTAAACGTAATAAATATTTGCTGTCTTTTTCTAATTATGGAATGGGACTTTGATGTCGTCTCCTAAAGGATGTTAATTTATAAACACAAAAGCCTGTACAAGTGTAAGTACATCTCTGTAACACAACAGACGCTAAGCCTATTAATCAATAAACAAATGCATCGTATTCGAATATTTCAATTTGCTTATAATTGTAATCTATAATCATGTTATAAATCTAGAGTTTGTTTAAAAGCCCTATATGGCCTTTGAACATAATAGTGGGAAATGTGGAAAAAACGGAGAGACGCTTTCATCTTAAAGGGTCCCCGTTGCGTGTGCTGCGAAAAATGTTCAAAAAACCACACAATATGTATATGGAAAATTATTTTCCTCTAAATGATCTAAAAATCAGTCCGCGCCAGTATATCCCTATCTTTTCAAATTAACTTGCAAGAACGACGGGCCCCGAACGAAAAAGTGGGTAACAGAATGACAAAAATGGTCAACAACGCATCTTGTGACATGTCATAGGGTTCTTCACCTTTCAACACAACCTCAAGCTTGTCTGTTCTTCTCTATAATAAAAAAAAATTCACGTTTCACGAGCCATACCTACCCCTTAATAAAGGACACATTATTAGAAACTTTGTTAGGCAAAGAAGGATTTACAAACTGCTTTAATTTTAATACATATATATTTCATTATATTATGATGATGCATATAACAACTACAGTGCTGTTGTTTGTAGAACAAAAAAGGTCGGTGTTTTATTAAAACTGGTATCAGTTATATCACTATCTTGGCAAATGCATGGTCTATACAGATCGAGCAGAAACCGCGGGATTCCTATCTCTCCTATTCTTAAATATAGATCATTATTTTGATTGCAAGGGCCTTGGAACTCGGGTTTAGTTAAGGAACTGCGCACAATATAATATAAATTCTTCGGAATAACACGTACCTATTATGTTACATCTATCACTGCAAGTACGTTTATACATATTTTTTAGCCGAACGCATTGTTCACAATTCGGTAGGATACTCGTGTAATATTCAATATCCAACCATTCAAATATAGGTTGGGTTGTATATTACTCTATTTAATTTTACTCTTTAACCAGAGAAGCAGTGAAAATCTGCACCGGTTTCCCATTCCAGCATCACGACTCCATGTACACAAATGTGCGTTGTTAGTAGACCTTGAATACGCTATCAAGAACGGAAGTTATATTTTCTCTCGTCGGCGCCGGATCCGAAATGATATCGATAAAAACACTTTTAGATTTTTGGCGAGTGACGCAAACATGTATTCGCATTCTTCTGCATATTATTTCTGTACGTAGTTATTTATTATCGGGAGAGACTTACTTCGAGATTTCTCGCTATCCTTTCGAGTTTGCTTGAATCCAAAAACGTTAAATTTAAGATAAGGAAATAAACTAATATATGCTTAATATTGCAACGTCAATAGAATAGGGCTTTACAATGAAAAAAGCAACAAAAGGAAATGAATGCATCATTATCTGATAGAGTAGTTTGATTACAATAAAGAGGTTTACATTGATATTCAAATTGTAAACATTTAATTAAGATTACATCGCATTCCTTACCTATCAATATCCTGTCACTGTTTAGGGCAATAGGAGCAAGTATAAATGTGTAAGTTCAACAAAAATACGATGAGGCGACCTCAAGTGAGCTCTACCCTATGACGATGGTCATTTCTACATAATTTCCGTCCGCTAAAAGTATCTTGGTCAAGATTACACCGCTCTGGACATTTCCCGAAAACCACTCGCGCTTTAGTAAACAAATCGAGCCATTCAACTCCTCACCCACAATCCATTCACTGAAACACCCCAAATGAAAAACATAAACACAAAAGCGCGTTTCACGCCCGTTTCAACGCCTCGCGTTTGCCGCGATCAATTAAACAATTGTACTCACCAGAAATGAACGATCACTAGAAGGCACTGTTATTCTCACTCAGGTGGCTTTTGTGAGGGAAATCAATACGTTGAGTCGTGAGGGTGACAGCGACCCGTTTTAGCCTCCGTGCCGTCCATTCAATACTGGTGGGAGACATGCGCACTGCGGCGCACGCCATTGACATTTTACTTCGTAAGGACCGCTACACACTATCACAAGTACAGTGCACAGATAGCATTATCAAAAAACAGTAGCACAAACACAATGAAATCAACAAAAAATGCTTATCCGTATGAATTCAATCTTCTCACCTGTAAGTTCTCTTCTAATAAATTACTGTGTTTAACAGAAAATAATTCTTCACTTATTTTTGCGGGTATGTGTTACGTGACACTAGCAAGAGAGAAATTGGGAGCCCTATAAAGTCACCGTTTGTTTTTGAAAGTTATTAAAATCTGCCAGTTCTAAAAACTGTTTGTCAAAAGAAACTAAACTACACAGCGAAAAAGTCATTAATGAAAATTAAGTTCATAACAGACTTACATAGCACAGTAATTGTAGGAATTGTTTATCAAGCCTAATATCTAAGGATTATTTTACTGAAGAGTGAAAACAAATAGTTTCTCAATATTTGATCAGTCATCGTACGCTTTATGATTCCTACTGTACTGCAATATTTGTAAAACTCTCAATGCAACTTCTTATCACCGATTGCTGTGTTATTAAATAATCCACGATTATATATTCCATGATAAAATAATTTATGTATTACTATTTAGTTTATATCGAATTAGAGTTAGTATATTGGCACAAATACATATAACCATTCATCAAACTTTCTTACTTCTATTTTTACTCAGAAAATTTTGGTTGTTGTTTTGGCCCAAAAAGGGGGGGGGGAGAACTTTAAAGCGCAGGAACATACCTACTTTAGCAGCTTATTAATCTGTTGGTCGTATCGCATGCAGAACGATTATCCAATCAGTTGGCAATTGTTCTCAAGGTTGTTCGACTAATAAAAAATATTGTCCTACTGATATAAATCTAATAAGCCAATGTCAGATATTTCAGAACTTATTTTAAATATAATTCTAATATAAAAATAATTAAAATATTTAAGACGCAAATGTAGTGTTATTCTCAAAATATATTTAATGTCAAACTTGTACAGGAAATAAATAAAGATAATTACAACTACTTTAATAATTAGGCATGATACTGACTTAGATTTAACTAACAATGTTTAATTATTACTTATAAACATTTGAAATTAGCCTTAAGAGTAAACAAATGAGGTAAAGACATACTTTGGACATAATTTTGCATTAATATGTTAAAAATATAATCTAACGTTTTTGGTAAATGAACAGCTAATCTGTCTGTCACATAGTATAAATAAATATAGTAAAATTTGTGGCTAAAAGATTTTATAAGGCCTAGACAAATCCTTTCATGTGTTAAAAACAATTCTATTGCTAGGAACCAATCACTTTTCAATGCAAAAAATGCTGTGACAATTGCAACCCACCATTATCATATTAGAATTAGAACAATAGCTTCTGATTGGGAATTATAGAGAAAATGTTAGATAAACTTTTACATATTCTGTTGAATAAATTTTCTCTCATTGATACAATTTTCCAATTCATCATGATATCTGTCAATTTTGGCATCAAACCCTGGGCTTTGTATGTCACATTCAAAACTATCACCAGTGATAATCTTTTCTCTATTAAGTGTTGAATCAAATCTTACCTTTTTACCAGGTGTATTCGTTCTATTATGGGATAAGTCGTTGTCATTAGACCTTTCCTTTAGTGGGGTTACATTTTCATTGAGTCGAGTGTTCCTAATAGTTTTAATTGTTTCGTATTGTTCATCTTCATTTGAGCTTAGCTCTTCAATTTCTATATCATCAGAGTTATCAAGCTTTAATGCTGGATTTTCTATTCCTGAATTTTTCTTTTCCGACTTCTCCTTAGGCGGCTTTCGAGGAACTTCATATGGGTTTAAAGTAGTATTAGACTCAACCTTTTCAGTCTTGAATGTTTTCTTCAAGGTCTTAAATACTTTCTTTGATAACTTATTCACTTTTAAAATTTGTTGTTTTAAATGCTTTTTATTATCAGTGGAATCACTTGTATTATTTCCATTAGATATTTTGTTTAGATTCATTATGTCAATTGCATTGAACTTGGAGACGTCGTGACCTAAAATTTTACTCTGCTTGTTATAATGAAATTCGTCAAAGGTTATTTCGTCTATGTTTTCGTAAATAGGACTTTCCGATCTGAATTCAACATTTTCGTAATCATGGCTATCCCTTACAGACTGTTCTTGATCATTCACAGTGGATATTGTACTATTTGTATCATTAGCAAATAATCTTTTAGGCAATAAATTATTTCCTGGCTGTACTCTGGTTACTTCTGCGTTATATACAGTTTCATCAGGGCCTTTAGCCAAGAATGGATTCTGTACCTCTTCTTCAACATTGAAATCTATATTGGGATCTAAAAAGGGATTAGTGTTCTTTCGAGACAGAATTTTCTTTTTTGTTATGATAGTAATGGTTTTTATCTCCATAATATTGCTTTCATTCAAGTCATCATCGAGGTATAGAGACTGATTTGATGTTTGTGGGGAGTCTAGAGCTAGTCTATCTATAAAACTTAGATTTAGATTAGCAGAGTTATTAATGAAAACTTGATTACTGACATTTGTTTGTATGTTCATGGTTTTGTTAATGATAGATAGGTCATTATTTTCCAGTTCATTAGATGATTTTTGTTCTAGAATTGATATTCCTGAATCAACTTCGCATGTGCTGTTGTTTATGTTGTATGTATGTAGACTTTTGCCACTTGGTGGGTCCATTCGAGGCGGAAGTGGGGGAATATCAGTAATATTTGCATATATAGGTTCACTTTCATTCGTTGCAACAGGTTTTATAGGGGTTTCATAAGGTCGAACATTTTTGTGAACATTCTGGAGCTCCCTTACTAGGAATTCATTGACAGCGGCCTTACTTATGCCCAGGTCTAAGGCAGTATTTTCAAACGCTGCTATATCGCAGCTAGTTGTCCTTTTTCTTCTCTTGTTTGGTGTGACTTCCATAGCCGTGTTGCACATAGGATCTTCGTTAACTAGAAGATCCAACGCGGGGTTAAGATATACGTTGGGACCAGTTTTGACCTTTCGCTTTGCTGATTTCACTTCAAATTGATTGTTGTCAACGGGGTTCATTATTAACTGAAATTGGTACGTGAAATAATTACAAATTTGTCATTTTTATATATACCGAATAATAACGAAATATTATACGCATACAGTACTAGGTTAGCCTTTGTTTAACTCGTTAAGAAATTGGTTTTGTGGTTTCGTTTATAATGCAACAATTGTAAACAAAACTTACCCATTTAATATGTTTTAAATTCTTGTTTTCACCACTTTCACTACACAAAACGTTTCGACTGTTTATATGACAGCTTATGAAGCACAATTTATTGTAAATAACATTTCTTTTAATTCATAATTTTAATAATATCGATGCCTTTAAACGGCAGGTGTTGAATGACGGTTATTCATTTGACATTGTATACTTGTTTTCAAACTTAAAGCAAATTGTATCTAAAATCAGTTCACTAAAGTTCATTATAGAATGTTTAAAATAATGTTGCCAAGAGGAAAAATTATTTAATTTTTAAGAGTCATACTAGATGGCGCTAAACCAAATGACAAATAACGGGCTTTCAGGGTTTCAGCTGACCTAACTCCCCGTTAGCTTGACACTAACACTTTTTTTGGCTATGTGTTCGCAACCATCGCTATTAAAAAAAGAAGCACGGTTTAAGCAATTTATTACAAGATGGCGGAAAATGTCAATTCCGATCGACAACAAAGAAAAAATGTACATGTAGGACATTTTAGGAATAAGGCATACACAATATCAGTAAAAAAATAGTATTACGTTTTAAGCTTAAGACGCATACCTCCGGTCCAGTAACGGTCTTTGATGACATCTCAGATAATATATGATGGCGCATCGTGTTACGGGCCCCCACAAACGAGCAACAGGAACATTAAACATTTAAATAACTGCACTATCGATGTTTTTAGGCTTTAGACACTCTGACAATTTTATGAAAAATAATATCACAATTTATTAGACTGTCACCTTTAACTAGCGGTGACACGACACGAGACACGAGTTACGACGCCGCGCCGCGAGCACACAACTACCCTAATTTTCTACTAACTGATTATATTTTGTAACTACCTTCATATATTACGATGATTGAAAAAACACAAATAACAACAAATTAAATAAAAATTTAATGAAATCGATAAATACGCATACATAGGACAACCTATCTATATTCCAATTCATTAAGTCTAACCTTCACCAATATTTAACAATAAAGCATTTATGCCGCGGGTCATTCAAAATTCGTTCTCTAACAGAAATGCTTCACAAGTACGTTTAACGCTTGTGGCAATTATAATAAGATTTAAGGATGCTAAGAGATAAGGAATCTTAGAGATTTTTTGAGCTACACAATAACTTATTTTTATACATTTAGTAACTAACCAAGTTACGTTTACTTCACATTAAAATAGATCAGATGCGTATAAAAATACGTACATTTTGTTTGTTTTTTCTTCTTCTAAAAATGTAATTATAGCTTCAAGCTATAAAGTATGTATGTAGATACACCAAATAAACTATAGACTTAATTAAACCTTTACTGACGTTTAATTTCAGAAATTTGTTTCATACTCACATACATACTGTAATGTTGTCTCTTCCAAATAAGTACACATAGGCTAAAATATAATTGAACAAACACATTGAGCCTTTTACTTTACAAATATAAAAAAACTTTGTGTAGTATTGCAATTTAGTCTGATGTTCGTGGATTTGATTGTTAGATGAAACGAGATAACGAGAAATGTATTAAAAAAAGATAAAATGCACCATTTCCCTTCAAAATCTTAGAGGTTTTTATTTGTATTAATACGTATTGTATTTCTTGTGATATTTAAATGATTAAAGTGATATAGAGAGTCTGTCGGATTGTCCGTCATAAATTTGAAAAGGTAGTGATAATTTGGCCAAAGGGCTAATGCTTTTTGTCATAAAGCCTCATCAACTTCACATATTATTTTAGACGAGTTGTTATAAGAAATATTTTTAAATATGTATTTATATTTTTTTAAGATGGCTATCTACCTTCGACGCTTAATTTATCGTAAAACTATCTTAATATCACAAATTTAATACTAAAATATTTAAATTCACACAAAAAAAATATTATTTTCACTTTTATCTAACGCACAGTCATAATATACAATCACGAATCTACAAAGTGTTAATAAATAAGACATAATAGCTCTTCTACCATCGAACTTAGGACCTTTCAGGCAAAAGTATTTAACAATATCTTACAATTTCCTAAGAAGACCTTGAGTAGCTTTGTGAGAAGGAGGTTTGACGACCAGTCTTTTTCTTAACTAACTCGTCGCGGCGATATACAAAATGAGGCAAATCTAGTAATTCTTATAATAATGACTGTAATATTTACAAATAGGTAAATATAATTCTAGTCGTTATTATGTTTCTCTCGCCACAAGAGCGATTAAAACATACAATTTTAGTATATAGTGTATAGCAAACTAAAGTGCCAGTAGATAATACACCTGATTTAAAATAGATATACAATTGTCTTAATCCCTAACAAATGCATAAGCAGACATATATACATAAAAACAATAAAAATGACAGGAAATAAATTTAAATATGAAAGCATTTTACATTCTTTACAGTTTACGAGGAAATAAGTTCTAACTAATAATGGCTGTGCTGCAACAAAAGACGGGAAAATAAGTTCCTTAACACCTGTGAAGCAGCCTAATTGCAATTTTGCTCTCTGAAGCTAGACTTCCTTCGTCAGGAATCTAAGCATATGTGTCTGTAACAATACAGGTCAACTGTGTCAAAATGGACGGCTAAAGAAAGCGCAAATTCTACTTAAAGAGTTATTAGACACTTGTTTGTACGCTTGGCTTAAATACTTTTTCTATATCTTTTAATAATTTAAAACGCGATATTATTATTTCAATGTGTACTACTCGTGTACACTAACTAACTACAGACAGTATTTACTTTGAATAATTACAATTAATACACATTCCCTCCCCTATTGACATCTGACATCTGTGAATTGACACTAAAGTCGACCTAGTCAATTTCTAGGTTCTTAAACGCTCTCTCCATGTGCTTCTCTCTTTTCTTGTCTGGTAGAGCGTTGACCCGCTGCTGCTCTTCGGCTGCGAAGTACGGTTCCATTGCCTTGAGCTGCTGCATACATTTCTTGTGGAGGGTTTGTGTGTCCGGCAAAGTTCCACCATGGTCGGGCGGGAGGGACGACCTCGGTACCACTGTTTCATAGAAATTTTCTAAATCTTCGTTTTTGGCGTGGAATTTTATCTGTAAACATAAATAACACAATTAAACTAAATGACACAATTCAAAAATAGTAGGAGTATTGTGTCACCGCAAATGTTATGAAGTATTTGGCATCACTTACACTCAGTTTGCCTATTGGATCTACAAATCGCGTTATTACTTAACTTATAATACTCACCATATCAAAGAATTTCTTGTCCAAAAACGGTCGGATTAGCATCATCAGCTTGTCTATGATGGGCTCGGTATTGAACACGTGAATCTCCTTCATGCGCACGGGCATCGCTTCTTGCACGTACTGGAAGAATTTGCGCAGAGCTCTGGGAAATTTATGAAGAGAGTTATAAAAATGATATGAGAACATTTTTCAGCACACGATTTTACCGCGTTTTCCTTTGTTTTAATAAACATCACAAGTTTATATACTTTAGCTTTTACTTTAAACACTTCTACAGTTAAATCATCACTAATATTATTATTATTATAAATAATCTATTCGTCTATCTAGACTTTATTAAATATACCTTCCATCAAATATTTCTGAAATCTATAAAATAGAAATTAACATATACGTTATTGCTTTTTTTACGACATTTCACGATGATACTAAATATAATACAAAATTAGTTTAAAAAGTATTAGTTTCGAAAAACTGAAAATGTAAGATATACAAAAAATATACATATCACAATGGACACAAAGAATATTTGTGCAAAGGGGCGATTATTAACATGTTGTCGAATGCGTGCGAACAAAAAGGCAATATTGTGGCAACACTTTTCCTCTAACCACAGACAAAAAAAGCGCGAAATGTGGCGCTCAATCTCTTTACCTTTGCTTGTCCTTGTGGAAGCTAGAGACCGTCGTGTTAAAGAGGAGAAAACTCTTTTAATTAGCACATACAATATGATTATACAGTACATAATAGATAGAGATATTTTTACTAACGATAAAGTAACATATTAAAAAATATTAACGGCTAACAAAATTAATACAACTTATCAAAGATAATTGTTGCACATAAATATACATTTAATGTACACATATGAAAACGGATATAAATAAGTGTGAAGATTAACATAAAAAAAGAATTATAATAATATTAGCGATGTCTGCACATGTTTGCATGCTAATGTGTGATATAAACTACATTTCAAGACAACCAAAAACTATCTGTCCGGTTTTAATGACATTTCTTGGGATTAAACCATACAACCCAAACGCGATCTTAATTATTTTATCATAATTGTATTGTACTAGAAAGGTCAACTCGTCGTTAAGAAAGAAAAAATAAGAAAATATTGTAATGAAAAAAAGGTTTAAATTGCGTGACCACGGCCGGTGCATCTGAAACGTGGAGCCGTAGTTAAATGAAATGTAAATTAGTTAACAAACATATTTCACGTTTTAACCCGTTAAAAGTGTTTTATTGAAATGTACAGACAATACACGAAAAACCTGTTAGAGTGGAGAGTTATTTAGAGAAATGATGGGACTTTGAAGATTTAGATGAATCTTAATTACAGCGAACCTATTTAAGATTTCAACGAACTCAAGCGAACCTCGATAACATGTTTTGGCTCCAAATAATACAATTATCGCTTTAAATGTTTAAGAAATTCCTAGACTTTTAGTTGTTCAAATAACAAATAATTAACCAGAATACTTAATTCGTTGGCCCTTTTGCCATCTTGTTTTACATAAAATGCATACGAAAAAAGGTTATACGAGGTGAACAGGAAGGTACATTTGTCTTTGAATATTCAGTTCTCAGAACAATTATCGAATAATTTGGTCACTTACGTTAGACTGACTCTCGTGATGTGCCCGAGTTTGACTCCGCGCATGTCGAACAGAAATATGTAGCCCGGCTGCGGTCCTTTCTTGTATAAACACGAATCTGGAATCAAACGTATGTTTCGTTATTCTTTGCCTCAATTGGAATGTCCATAACGGGCCACAGCCGGACCACCGGTATATATGTGAAAAATATTAAAGCACAATTTTTTTTTAATCGATAAAACTGAAAACATTTAGGACTCGGGCAGGACTTGAACCAATTGAGCTACCTCTTAGGTTAGAGCAATAGTACGGAACGCTGTGGATGCCGGTTCGAGCCCCGCCGGAGTCGTAAATGTTTTCAATTAACTATCGATTTTTAATTTATACAGTGCCATCATGTGCAAGAAGATGTGAAAAATATTAAAGTTTTCAAAAACTATATTTTTATTACGGGCTGAGTTGCTTCAGAGAGTCCTCGCGGTCTAATGAAGAATGGGACCGATTCTCGCCAGCATAATCTGTTTGTTGGTTTTAGTCCACGGACAGCAACAACAGGGTACCGCGGCGATAGTAAGGATTTCGGTGAAATACGAATTCACGTGTATACGCAACATAGTAACCTTACAAGGCGTTATGTCATCTCCAGAAGGCCACACACGATAAAACATAGTAAATATATACAGTTAATTATCAACCGGTTGTCCGTTCGTGGCACCCGTTAGCCTCGCTTATCGATCTCCCTTAACTCGTTACGAATTATTTAAATTTGTACACATACATTATTTCAGATTCGACATTGTCGATAAAATACCTCTCCAGGTAACTTATAGATTGTTTTTTTTAGTGGCAGGGGAGGGCAAACTCCACTGTTAACCTATTTTGGTATCTTTTGAACACTGCTATCTTTCGACAGTTCTTTCGACCGAAAACATTTTTTCTCAAGTATTAAGATCCATCGAAAGTCACGATAACCAAAAAACGGCCGGACAAATTTAATTAAAAGTAGCTTTTAATGAACGACACGTTTTCACGGTTGGAATCAAGGTTTAAACAATAAAAAATAACTACACTATTGTATATTTATGACAGACAGTTGACGAGGACATCAGATTTAACGATAACCTCCGGAAATAATGCAAGAAGAATTAACTTATTACCTACTTATTGCAACTTAGATAATGATTAGATAAAAATTTAAACAGTTTAAACAAATACCCCGATTGACTTATAAAGCGAAAGGTACTCGGTTCGTTGGCGTATGAAAGTGTTTGTGGACCGAAGCGAAAGGGATCGCCCTGTCTCAATTTCAGGAAAAAAAACGCATTAAATATAAACTGTTAGTTTTTTTAAGATGGCTCTCTCTGCTGAAAATTCTATATCACGTGAAGCTTGACATGAGCATACCTGTTTCATCAATATTGAGTCATGCGAGTTTGAATAAATACAAGTTTTAATAAACTTAAAGTAAATACGTCAACTACAGACGTCGGATTAGTTCTCAGACGAGATTTGAAAATGTTGCAATCGCTGCTCGCGTATTTAAATATTATTTTAACTACTTTGCTAATTGTATTTTTCGCAAGCTCTTTATGTGTGCGAAATATAAGGTCGAGGCACAATTTAGTTCCGAGCTTTGGTCTAAAACCGGGTTTTGTTACGTGCATACGTGTTCGTACGTGCTACCCTCCCTTCAAACTACTTTGTTCTTAAAAAGAATAGGTACCTTAGTTCTTTTAAATAGTCGTCGGATCCATCTATCCTACATTCTTTGTGTTTTCTCATTAAGATACTTAAAAAAAACTGCTTACCAACTGTCATAAAGAGTATTTTAGCTCCGTACTCGAAGGTATACCTCGCAGGGTCCGTGATGTGCAGCCGGTGGTAGATCAGGTCGTAACCCTTACAGGATTTACCAGGAAGGACTGAGTACTCCCTGGAATTAAATAAGAAAGTATACTTAAAATGAAATGATAGAACTGAATCGTTTCCATGATTTTTCTAGATTTTATATGTAAATCATTTTTTAAGGTATATATTTTAATTAAATTTAAGATCAGCGTGTCTATCATCACATTTCGTCTATTTCCCAGCATCGGAAATGTTCTTACGTATTTCACTACACAACAGGATCCTCTCGAGTTTTAATAACCGTAATTGGAAGTAATTCACTCGATTAGTTTTCCTTATTGATCTTATTATCTGATCAGTTGATGTTATCGCAGTCGGGGCGATAGGCTAGGGCGCAAATATATGTCTGATACAGGCGAGAGACACGTAACTTTTTTTTGGGAAGTGTGTTAATCAGAACCAAAAAAAATATTATAAGTCTGCTATACATGTTCCGATTTATAAAGCCAGTTCACACTGTCGTCACTACTCTGAGCTATGAAAATTAAAAAAATCTTGCGTAACTGTTGCCTTTGCATATTAAATTGTTATTATAACACGATCAAGTAGTAAAACCGGTTCGCGTAGATTCCTTTATGGCTTTATGGAATCGGTAAATTACAGCTCCGAGTATACTAATATGTTTCATTTTGATTCAAACACCTCATTAGTGCCTAGATTTCCCATGCCATTTGTTTAAGGTAACTGCCATAATATGATTATTCGACCAAGACTCCAACTTCCAATAGTGTACATTATAATTATTCCTTTATCTTGTAAAGCAATTTGCAACGCGTGACATTACATGCATACATTACGTATAACATTTAATGCGTTTGAGGAATTATTCTTTTAAACATGAGACACCCGAGACATTAATATTTCTGTCAGCCTCTAGACAAGTACATAAATAAGTCTCAACCGAATAAAGTAAATCTAATATTTAACATAAAAAAAACGTTATTAATGTGAAACACTATTAACAATGAATAAATTGATTTAAAACTACAAAAAATTCTCAGTTCATTTATTATAAATATAAATATATATGTACAGACTGGCATGTGCTTTTTATATTGATTTCACTTCTGTTAAAAAAGGCAAATACCTCTTATTTATTACTAAATTTTAAATCGCAATTAATTGCACAAAGGGCAGAACGCACATAATTTATTGTACTTAAAAAACGCCATTTTGCACTTAAAGAATTTAATTAATGCCTTTAATTTATTATTATTCAAAACAAAATAGTATTTCGGTTTCTGTTGTATTTCAGAACAGAAACCGAATTGTCTCAAATCGCTATTTTCAGTTGTACCAGTCGATTTTCAGGATGTCGAGATAAAGATTTATAACTTTACTATCTGTCGTTAGACTATACTGGTTATGCTATGTTACGAAGCGCGTAAATATTTAAAATCTATTTCTAATTGACTTTTAAAATAACCAACCGCGAGGCGACCTTGCTTCAGGTCGTTCTAACAACTTTGAAATGCAAATAATCACTGTAAATGTTGCAACAAGTACAAATTGTGATTTTTTTTGTTTACCCTTAAACATTGTCGAGTTTTTGTTGAAAAATATGCTACGCACTAGAATAATTTGAGTTATTTTTTTACAGAAAATGTATTCCTGTTTTATAGAAGTACATAATATCCTTACTAATAAATGCGAAAGTAACTCTGTCTGTCTGTTTGTCTGTTACTCTTTCACGCCAAAACTATTAAACGGATTTGAATGAAATTTGGTACACAGATGGTCTAGACCCTGAGAAAGAGCATAGGTTCGCATTAAACGAAGGGGGGGGAGTGAAAGTTTGTATGGAAATTCGTGGTTTTTGAAGCAAGAACAATGAAACTTTCTTCTTTGGCTTTTTGGGAATAGAAACGGGAGTGGGACTGGGAGTGGGAGTGAGTGTAGGAATAAGAGTGGGAGTTAGAGTAGGAGTGATGTGAGGTGAGAGTGTTGCGGCAAAGTTGCACTTACAACATAGATGGGCTGCCATAAATGCGCCCTTACATAAATTAATAAACAGCCTGAATAATTAAAACATCTGCCCCAAGTCACTATTCCACGCGGACGAAGTCGCGGGCACAGCTAGTAATTATATATTTCTTGACATCGACTGCACTTGCATCAAACAAAACTCAGTTCGAAACAAATAACTACAACTCTGCATACATACATACAATATCTATTTATCTACTTAAAACAAGTAAGGTGATAGGTCGCATTAATTAAATTAATTTAATAAAAATCTAAAATATTTGTCTGTCTGTTCTGACTTACAACTATATCAGAAAGTTATTTTATTTTTAGACTTACCCATGATAATATTTTTTAAAGACAATAGATTTTCACACAATGGCAGTTAATTCTCTAATGAATTTGTATGAGTCATTGTTTTACTATCTATAACTTTGAAAAAAACTTTCAACAATGTAACTGAAGAAGAAATAAAAAATAGAGAACAGCAAGATTAATCTTGATTAAATAAAATTATATAGTGACTAACAATAGTTGTAATTAATTTGTGTATAACATTATTATTAAAAATAGTAATGTTATACATTCAAAGGTTGATGAGAGAAAGGTAAAAGGTTTACAATTATATACCTAATTGAGTAGAAGTTGTTGTAGAAAATATATACATACAATGTAATATTTACACAATGAAATAAGTTATATGAAAATATGATGTCTATTGTAAGCAGATAGTAACAGCGCTACAACATTAAATATGTGCATATCACTAAATCCTAGATATATTGTTTGAAGATGGAAAATCAAAAGGAAATTTATAAGGAATTATGGTAATAGGTAATTTAGTTGAATACATTTTAAAATGTTGAGATACTTTTTAAATTTACCCTTTCCTGAAATCTGACTCATAATATGAAGTGCAGTGATAATTTTTATTATCTTGGGTAATCTAGGATATTTAAAGATATGTTTTGTATGGTTACTATGTTTCTTATTAGCTATATACTAATTAGTTTCATGATAAATTAAAATTGTTTAATCATTATCAACGTAATAATTTTATGATGACCGCTTTGTTTCAAATTATTACAAGAATTATGAGAAAACAATCTGATACGATATAGTAAATAGTAGTAAGTTAAGATATAAAAATTACTCACAAGGCTTCGATAAAAGGTTTAATTTCGTCCAGCGAAAGTACCCTGTTATCGAATAAGTCTGGCGCGTTCTTTCTTATATTGTAATATTTCTCCATACACATCTTCGTCTTCTCCACATCCCCGTAGCAAGCGTTGTAAAATAAAAGCAGTTGTTTATTAGTTAGGTCTCTTGGCACATATTTAGATTTATCTAAATTTTGCGTCCATTCCTTTAACTCATCGATGTGCTCTTGGGAAAAAATATCCATCGTCGCCGCGGCCTCTTCATAACTGTACTCCATATCTAAACTCATTCTGATTTATTTAATTTCAGTTAACTTTCGTAATTTTTCACTATTTTAATTTCAACGTTTGATCAATACACAAGCGCCTGGCGCGATATCAGATATCAGTTTGACAACTGTGAACTGAATTAATTTTGTTTTTTCAAGTGTAGTTGCAAGTGTGGATACAGGGTTAATGCAGATTATAGATGGCGCTTAAATAAAAATACCTATAAAACAATATCATAATAAGAAACAACAATGAATAAAATAAGATAAAATCCGAAACGTGACATATGATATGACGAAATATTATTAAAAATCTAAATAATATCCTCATTATAAACAATTTTAATTTGGCTCGAGCTCACCACATAAGAATATAACGAGATTAGATATCATCTGTGAAAATATGTTGCCGCCGAAAGGACCACGCCACCTACTCCTTACTACAGTACTTAGTATTTAGTACAACAGGAAACGAATTTCAGTTGCAATGAGTTTGCAATCTAGGGGGCTTTAGTTTATTTTTCATTTGAATTAACTCAAACCAAAATATACAAAAATCATTATTATTTCTTTCATAATCTTACTTCTTACTTTAATCAATGAACATTGAATTAATTCCGTTAGTTTTATTGTCGCATTTATCGTAACTATGCCATGACGTGCCGGCTAATTGCGTTTTAAAATAATTTTAGAGATGCTGACACAGCAGTTACTTCTAGGAATAGATCTAAATATACATTCTGTGAAAGGTACTGGGTATTGCTTATAGTAATATTGACTCCTATTGTTTTCCTACCCGTTGCATTTATAGGTGACAATAATGTAAGTACCTACACGTAGTTTTCGTTTAGTAGTCTAGGTAGTCTGTGTAATGAACAAGTTTTTTCAACCTTTGGTTTATTGCATTTGCGTCAAAGCCGTTTTATTACGATATCGTGAAGTAGGTGTGAAAAATAATTATTTTATTTGTTGCCAGGCATATTTGTGTTTTTATTTATTTCTTGTAACAGCTGTTTTTTGGGTAACCAACATTATCAGTCAGAGCACAGTCTCGTTACTATGGTTGGCTTCAATATTAATGATTTCATCTCTGTTCGACGTTAAGATTTTAACAAAGGTAATGTGGTTGCCTAAGTTCACTCAGATTCTGTTTGTTACCTTGACGGTAACTCGTTAAAAGTTACAGATCTATATACGCAATCAAGTTTTGGAGACATTTGGCGTGATGTGTCTAATTGGGGCCATTGAGGACTGTAACATCCATAATCGTACTGCCCTAAGATGTTTGACAATTTTTGGATGCTCTCATTATAAGTAAGAACTTTTATACGAACAATTTTTAGAAGAAGAAGAGGAAGCGGATAGCATCTTACTTACAATCATACACATCTTAGCATCTACGAACAATCTTGATAACAGAATGGCCAGCGTTCATATCTTCTCGCCTCATTTTCAGTGGGCAGATTGCAAAATATTTAAATACATATTTTTCTTCCTTTTAAGTAGAAAAAATTAAAAATAGCTGTTAAAAAACGTAACATGTAACTAATAATAACTAATACGTTTTTATCATCTCCCTAAGGTTAAGTTTTCTCATTTTCTTTACGACCATGACTTTATCCATGTGGTTTTCGAGCACGACGGTTTGTGGCTTCGTGATGCCATTGGTGAAGGCGATACTGGTCGAGTTGGAAAAAGTTAGATTTAATATTGCCTTAATAATTAGTTCTTATCAGATAGTGTATTAGTTAATTTTCTTGCATTTTGGCTTCTCATTTCCCAAATGTGCCAGCGAGAACGTGTATCGTCTTAAGTCTTTTCAAATAATTAAGCTATCTAAATAAATTTTCGATCATACTAATTCTTTGCCATTATTCTAGCTGGGTATCCTAGAGATGTTTGAAAATATAAATGAATTGAGAATGGATGTCGCAAAGCATCGGTACTTATTTTTTATTCACTTAATAACGTTTGAAATAACGTATTACATATTTACAGTAGTTATGAATTAGTTTATTTTTCTTTTTAGCGTCCGCGCGCCAACGGATTTGACTACATTCTACTTCCTTGGTGTTGCTTATTCCTCTTCAATAGGTGAATTACTATAACTTCCTCTAAACTACTTTTACGCTTTTCGTAGACAATCGCCTCACGATGTGTTCTTTAGGAACACAACTTATAGCTTACTTCTCTCAATCCTTTCAACCTTTACCAAAACTTTTACCTTTTTTTTTAATTGCGAGAATCAGTCTTCCCTTAGTTAAGGAACGCCGAACAATTTCTCACTTACGACGGTGTATTTTTTCTCTTCAGGTGCTATGACAACATTGATTGGAAGTGAAACTAACCAACTGTTAAAACGATTCACAGACTTGTAAGTTGTCTTTTTAATTACAATTAAATAGATTAAAAATAATTAATTTACGACAGCCATGAAATTTAACAAAAAAACAACCTTTTGAGGATATTTCCGTTAAGTCCGCCATTGGAGTTTCCACATTTCACGCTTTTGACTTTGCCTGGGGTACTAATTATGGAGTTCTTTTTATATTTTTGGTTGAACTATTACTTTCTCGGAATGTTTAGGTAAGTACTTAAACCCAAAAGTATCGTTCTGAGAGATATATTTCGTGTTTGTACAGACATAAGTAAATTATATTTTAGGGTGCAAAATAATCCTATTTTACAAGGCGGAATGTCGGAAGACGAAATTCAATATGCCCTCGCCTTTTTGAAAACTGAATACGACAAACTGGGAAAATTTTCAATCCATGAAATGGTGCGTTGCAATATTAATGATTTATTTCTCGAGCTTTAGTTCACATTAGTGAAAAATTACGCTCACCAAGAAGTTATTTGTTGCGTATTCGCTATTAATTTCGTAATATTAGTCAAATGCACAACTCCTGTCCATAGTAATTAGCAGAAAAATCTTAAATAAAGAATAATTCTAAAAATAACAATTCTAATTGTATTAGGTTGTTGGTGCGACGATAGTTTTGACATTGCTCATACGAACTACAACTAGTTACCTGTTTCTAGTCGGTAAAAGCTCTGAGTAAGTTAGTTTAAAATAATATCGTATTATGATTTGTTGTCGAGCATAAATTATTTAAAGTGCAAATCCGGAGGAGTAGGTATTTGGAGCTCGACCCTTATCCGAGTCCTTGTATGGTCTCTTAACCTGGAGAGCCTCCATTGACTCACAATGCGCAATCTCAATCGGTTAGAGCTCCAGCATAGAACGCCGTGTTCTCAATTTTTTTCAATCTAAAAAGAAATTCCCTTTTCAGGACAGTCGCGAAAGTGTGTGCTCCGACAATCATCTCCGTTGCCGTCCTGTGCGTTGCACCGAGAGACTTAGACTTTTTCAAAACCTTTAGAAATTCTGGTGTGCCACACTGTTCACATCGTATTATGTAAATTACTTATGGCTTACGTCCTCTGCTTTGAAATTAATATACGTATGTACCTTAGGGACATTAGGAGGCCGAACCTCATACAAACCTTGTCTTACGTGGAATATTTTGAGGAACAAGATATATTGGCATATTCTGGTTGTTATCGGTACGTTCAGTACGCCAACTATTACTTGCATTTAATAGATCATTTCAGCACATCCAATTCTAGTTCTTATCGTGTTTAACATTACTCGTTTAAATAAAACACTTAACTCTTCTGTTTTTGACTATACGCAGCTTAAATAAATGGTAAATAAGTTAACTTAAATATTTCACGTTTTAAACCATTAAAAGTGTTTTATTTAAATGTACTATGATTACAACTCGCGTAAATTACAGACCGTACTTAACTCGCCGCTCGTACAAAACTGTCATGGTTTCCCGAGAGTCGATACTGAATTTACTATTTCAGAACCTATAAGTTATTCAATTTAGGTACTTAGCGTAGACAGCCACTTACTATAAATTATTATAAGTATTTATTATTCAATATCTGCAGTAAGTAGCGACGCGATTTTCGAAACATTCCAAAGAAATCATATGATGGATGAATTTGAAGAATTGCTTCTACTCTTCAAAGGTGTCAACTCTGTTTGGGTCGTAACTACTGTAATATTATTATGCAAAGTGTTAACAGAATTCGTTAGCAATTCAACCCTGGTGTACTTCTTACTACGCCATGTCGCTAGAGTGGTAAGATTTTATCATTATTAAATTAATTCAAATTTATAATTAATTAGACTTTTGTACAGCTGGCATTAATTAATTTATCTATACTAATATTATAGTAAGAGGAAAGATTTGTATTTTTGTATGTAACGGGTAAACTCAAAAGTACTTGACCGATTTTAATAATTATTTTTTCATTAGAAAGCTACATTATCACTGAGTAACAGAGGCTATATTTAGTACATGATTACTATAGGCATCTATAGACATTTTTACTAAAACCAACGGAAGGCGTAAAAAAATTGCCGTAAAATGTCTTTCTTCGCATACGTTACGAAACGTATTAATGATAGGACAAAAAAGTGTTCGACAATATTATAGAATATAATTCCTGAAACCAAAAAGTGTATTATCCCTTTACGAGATGCAGGCGTTTACAGACTGGATTGTGATTGTGGCCTAATATATCGCGTTTTAAACCGTAAAGTGTTTTATTTAAATGTGTACTACTCGCGTAAACTATAGACAGTATTTAGCATGCTTATAATTTAAATATCTGTACCTATTTATGTCTACCCGTAGCGTAGCCGGGACAGAGCCGCTAGTAATATTTATAAATAAAAGCTGTATTTAAATTATGACAAGAAACTGTATTCACGGAATAATATCACAGAAAATACATTTGTTTCAGAGCGTATTCTTAAGAATACACCCCCATTTTTTAATGAGCAGCGCCGTCCTCGCAGCTGCCTTGCCCTTCCACACCACTTTGGGCACACCGGCGAACGCCCTCGTTTCGACGTACGTGAACATTCCTCACAGGAAAATGGTAAGTCATACTGTATAAGGAGTTTAATAGTCCATAATATGTACTGTAGGCAAATGGGATAATTTTAAGATTTATCATTTATTTCCTTGTGTAATGTAGCTTTTCGCCGGTTCGGGGCTATCGTTGCTAGCAATCCTCGTGGTTTGGTTGACCACGGCTTTATGGTCGAGGGTGATTTGGCACGACATCTCTGCGTTTCCAGCTTGGGCGAAGACGTACGTCGTAAAATATATCGATGAGTAATAACAAGACATGCCATGTAGCCCGACTGTTGCGGTTAAATTATATACGACCATTTACGTCTCCAATTATTGTTTGGTTGCAAAATCGTATATACGTAGCTAATTATATTTGTTTTTATCACTCTCCCCCATTCTTCAAGGAGCTCCAAGAAAACACTGATAAAATTTTATATATTTTATTTTGTAACAATTAACAACTATTTACACAATGACGTAATAATTATTTACACTTTATCTACACAATTCGACGAGAATTTTCATTTTGAACTTTCACTTTCATATAATTTTACTATAGGCTTTGTAGGAAATGAGGGAAAAATGTTTAAAAAATATAAGAATGTCTCGAAATGCTGGTAAAACGACATCGTATAATAAATAGATTCTAAATATTATTGCTATTTAAACCCTGTAGAGATAATCTGATTATGAAGTTCCTGTAATTATGTTCTGTATTATTTATCGCCGTAAATGCGCCGTAAATCGTTTAGTCAAACGACATTCGACAACGATGTCGAAATCCAACCCTTTGGTCAAATCACGCTTAACTGTAAATATTCGCGGGCGTATATATTATCTCTATACCTACAATTTAAAAAAATAGCTTACAATTACCATTAGCCAGACAATTATTTGGTTCGCATTTGCTTTCCACCACAGATTGCAGAATCTACAATTAATTATAATCTGACATCAAAGTAGAAGAAAACTTAATGTACAACTTTGTTTATGTATATATTGTTTCGCTAAATTCGATAACAGTTAAGGTACAAGCGAAATTATGCTTCGCTTAAATCCGTGAATATTTCTAAAACGTTAACCAAAACCAAATCAAAATGGCGACAACTTTGTATTCTTTACTTTTATTTACAAAGTTATGATAAAAAAAGATTTAAACTTCGGAACAAAATGGCAGATAACGCACCTGTCTGATTCAAATGAGTTTTTGCATTAAAATCAGTTGACCTCCCCCTTTTCGCTTAAAAGAAGCGAATTCAGATCCACCCCTATTTTTGAGTTAACCCGACTGGACTAAAACGAATATGTTAAAATTTGTCAACGATATTGAAAGCAACTCCCGTTAAATATTTAAAATAAATAAATCAATAAACTTAACCTAAAATAAAATTAAATTAAATCTAAATCACCTAGTCCGCACCCGTTCTCCCGAAAGGTAATATTTTTATACTGGACAAGATATCTAAGGGACATATACCGAAAATCACAAGGTAGAGATACTTTAACAAGGATCTATCGAACACTTGAACATCTATTTCCACTCTCCACAACGAAGACGGGGACAAAGCGTAGTCTTTGTGCGTTTGTCCCAATTCATTTTCATTTTGCTCAATCAGTTCTAAACGCGAAATATTATTAAGCACGAAATAATAACGAGCAAAATGTCCGGTATATGTCACTTTATCGCTCCTCCTATTTCGTTCGAACCATACGTAAAGGCATACAGTAAATGCGTTAAAATATGAATGTATTTACATCCTTCCGGATTATTAGAGCTTATGAGTTCGGTATTACTCGCCAGTGTTCACGTAAAACAAAATCAAAATTTCGAGCAATTTTGGCACAAATCTATCACTAGCGCGTCCATAATATCACATTGCTTGTATAACTAAAGGAAAGATACGCGCCGAACAATAAATATGGGACTGACAATTATGCCATCACCCAAAAATGCCAAATAGTGCCCCGTTGTCAAATGTGGCCCATTAGATTGGCTTCACAACAATTCCATATCCCGCAGCACCAAGTATTATTTTGTTGTTTTAAGTTGCGTTAATGCTTATAAGTTCCTAATATTGTGGTTGATCCGGCAGAAATATAGACTCACTTTAGCTTGCGAGGCTTTTTAACAATATTTCATTTAAGTATTTGTTTAACCCGCAACATAATTGAATGATTCGTGCGTTGAATGAATCTTTCTCGTTAAATTAGATTCATACAGAACGCTTCGTTTGCGAGTTAGGAATAGGCGTGTGAAGAATAATATTAAATTTGAGCATTTCCCCCACTAATAATAGCAAGCATTAGAGATTCTTATTTGGCGATTAATAAATAATACGGAGTTATTTGGTAACGAACAACCGAGTTGTTTATATCTAAGGCGTTTGGGGCGAAAGGGTCCCAGCAGTTGTCACTGGGGCGCTAAGTGCGGCGATATCGCCGGGTTTGAATATGAGCGAGCCCCAAGTCGGGTAGGCGCCCCATATTATAAGAGTGGTGATAATTTTGGGGCCGATACCGCCGATTGCCTGAAAATAAACAGAAAGTTTTGAATTGAATATTGTCACAGTGAATTTGACAGGACTTATCCATTAGAAATAAAAAACAAACAAATAGTAGGTATTGTTATACTAGTGAGGTATTACGGGCTGCAATATATTTGAATAAGATGCTTACCATTTTCGAAGTCGGTATGTGAGCGACGCCAGCCACGATAGCGTTCGGTGGGGTCCCCACGGGCATGTGGAAGGCCATCGAGCAGGCCAACGTCGCTGGGACCATTAGGTAACGAGGGTCCATGTCTAGAGTTCTCGCCTGTCCAAGGGAACAGAGAACACCACTTTAAACGAAGTACACCAAAGCTAAGTTGTCATAAACAGCCACAGCTTTCCTTCACTTTGTAATTTAAAAAATGTTGTTTATTTTTTGTTTAAGTGGTACCCATAAAAATGATTATTTATACTATGTGTTACCGAATCCGTATCAAAACCGTGTACAAGTGGGGTCGTGACGTCACTACTATTTTTATCACGTGATATTAAAACAGACAAGGATCCGCTTACCATATTCGCCAAAACTGGCAAAATGAGATTGGCGATGGCAACATTTGAAGTAAACTCGGTGATAAATTGTGTCACTAATACGACTACTAGCAACACTATCGAGGGATGCAGGCCGCGGAGGCCGATCAAGGAAGTCCCGATCATAGAGGATAGACCGGTCGCTTTACTGCCTTCAGCTAACGCGAAGCCTCCACCTGGAAAATTACACCGTTTACATTCGTTTTATTGCGAACAAAGGACCATCGCTATAAATTATTTTAACTGCAAAAGCTAAAAAGGGTTTGTTTCTAAAGTAAAAAGTAATAATACCCACCGAGCAAGAAAAGCAGTCCCCAGGGTATTTTCTCCTTCAAAATGTTCCACGTGACGATACTCGGTGACGGCCTGTACTGAGATAATTCTTCGTCTGGAAAATTAGACAAAAACGAATATGATAAAAGTGTTGTTTGTTTAAATTGTTTTAATAAAATAGATGCTATCGAAAGTAAGCACTACGCTCCTTACGTATGCAAATTAAGCTAAATTAAAAAAACTCACAAGAAGACGACGCGGAGAAGAACTTGAGGCAGTCTACGGACATCGGCAGAATAAACATCAGTATCACTATGAACATTGATACTACGCCGTCTTTCACCTTCCTGCAACCGAAATATTGTTCATTAAATTGTATTAAATTGTATATTAAGGTATTAATCCTTCCAAAGAGTGTTGAGTAAAGATCATTTTTGTAACTATACTCTGTGTTATCAATACTTACATAGTAGTAATAACGTCGGCCCAGCCGAGCATGAAGCCAGGTTTTCTAAAGATGTACAAAAACACAGCCAAAATGAACAGCGCTCCGGACGCCTGAAAATAATAATAAAAATATTTATATTTTAGATATAACTACAAATATCTAATCCTTCGTATTTATTATGCGTTAAGAACATATTGCATTAAGGTTGTGAGTTCAATTTTACTAAATTACGTAACTACCTTCTCGTGAAAAGTGACAGGACCCAAGTTTTTGTATTGCTCCCGAATCACTTTCATGGTGTTCTCTGAGCCCGATGATGCTGCGTTCACCTTCTTAGCGGCTTCGCTGTTTGGCCTTTAAAAGAAGAAAAAGGTAAGAGTTAAAAGTTTATTCGTTGTTATGTCGGTATTTTTATTTTTTTAAATAACGACGAGATGAGTAATCATCTCCTTTATCTATAAACAAGAATCACTTCAAAATAAATCATTCCCAAACAAAATGTGTATTTTTGTGTTGTTTTAATTCTATACTCGGTAAATAGTCGGTACTTATGGCTTATCAGTTACTTGCGTATTTTTATTATACTTCTTATTGAAAATCATGTTTTTTGTTATTAAACCACCCTGCCTCTAGCAGCCTCAATTTTGAGACAGTAAATCCGAATCTTTTCTCCTCAGTCAGCGTCTCAATAGAAACAAATGTCTTACCGGAATAGTCCCATGAAAGTGACCTGCAGCGCAATCCAGACGAGCATCTGCATGAGCAGCATCGGCGGAGTACTGTAAGCCATGAACCAGAAGAAATCCACCGCTCCAGATATCTCTGGGAATTCTCTGAAAATTTTTGTAAGTAATTATTTCTTAGTCCTTTTTTTAATATAACCTCTCTTGCAAGTTAGCAATGTGTGGTAGGATGGTTTAATTGCAAATTATTTCTTTGTGGTATTATGGACCAAGTTTATTAGAGTCTTCGTTATCTCTAAGACATTGTGGGAAAAATATGTTAAGACTACTAGAGGTTACTAACGAGTCAAAGATCCCTTTGAACGCGGAGTTAGTAGCCGTTCCCACGAGGGTACCACAACCTCCCAGCGTTGAAGCATACGCAATACTCAAATAGTAACACGTAGTGATATCGCTCGGTATTGGAGATCTGCAAAAAAGGGTCGGTTAAGTTAGGTAGTCTAATCTTATTGCCTTTTGTAAACATAGCATTACTTATTCACAAAATTCTTACTCTTCCTCAGTGGTGGGTTTTTGTATTTGTTTGCCATTTTCAGCACTTTTCTTCTTATTGATGTAGACGTCTCCGAGTCCTTGCTGAGGAGCAAATTAAACCATTAATTGTCATCTTAGTTAGTTACATACTAAAGAATAGAAATATCCAAATCTGGCTGGGACACAGAAGTGTGATAAATTAATAGCTTTTAAATAAAATCAATCAGTATTAACACTTATGTGCTCGCCCCATGCCCACAAACACTCACAGCAGGATACAGAAGTTCATACACATGTTTTATTGTTAAATAAAAAGGAAGAAGATTTAATCCAGACCTGCTCGAAGACCTCTAATATAGCTTCAACAATGGGCACCATCATGGTGGTAGCAGCAGCGTTGGACACCCACATGGATATGAACATTGTCACAAATGTCAGTCCAAGGTTTAATCTGAAAGTAACAGAAGGTAATGTGTTTTATACTCTGCTGTTTGATATAAGTGTCATGGCTGTAGCATAAAAAATCTACTATCTACAGATTAAAATGCCAGCTTTCTCTATTAATGCGTATATGTTGTCAGTATGTATTGCTTCTACATATCAATAACCATAGTTTAATATTTTTTTATTGTAAAAAAAAATCACATACCTTCTATGTGAGCAGCCAACAACTTGAACAGTCCATAAAGCCACCCTTTTAGGTAATTTAGAATGCTGCACTCCGGCTGCTATCATCAAACCACCCATAAACATCATATTTGTCTCCTTCATATAAGCAGCACATGTCTTATCCGAGTCCAGAATCCCAAGGGTGGGAAACATGACTATTGGCAGCATGGATGTCACAGGTAGGGGAAGTAACTCCAGCACCCAGTAGGTGGCCATTATAAGGACGACATACATGCATTTGAAAGCCTGTAAATTATTTAAAAAAAATTACGTAGAAATATAGATATCCAAATTAATTTCTTCAAAGTATAGACATATAAATAATAAATTGTTACTGTATTCCTTAGCAATTATTCATAGTACTTTGGAGTATTAAGAGAAAACGATTCAATCATGAATGTAGCTAAAATATCTAAAAATTATAAAAATAAAAAACATACCTTAGCAGATTCTGATCCAGCATTTATTATAGGTATTGGTAATAGTATAAGAGGTGTAATAACAACAATGAGGGCCTTCCAATAAATGGATATAAATAGATTTATTCTTTGCCATAACGTCGCGCTAGTACGTCCCTTTGAGAAGTAATATGTTGTACCCCTGCAAATAACAAAAACATTATTTTATAAATGTTATAATGTAGATTTTTTTCTTTGATCTTACAGTAGAAACTAATGTTTTTCTTAAAATAAGCTAAAATTTGATATTAAAAATACAAAAAGCCAAAAAATATATATATAATACATTTAAACTTACCGGCCTTCGTCGGCAATTCCGTTTTCAGCAGCGCCGGTAGTAGACATTTTTAAAGTTTGTGAAGGAGGATTTTCTTTTTTCTTACTCTACCACATTCTCCAACAAATCTATAAGAATAACAATCAATTCTATTTGTAAGAGAACATAATAAATAAGAATAACAACTGAATAGCAGAAATTATTTGAAAATAGCGGTTTTCAGGGATTTCCACCATTTGCAATGGATTATCCTTCATGATTGTCAATTTATGACAGCTGTAATTTATTGGTACACATTTCATAATAAAATATGTATTTTGTGTAGTTACCGATGTTATAGCGTGTAACGGAGCTACCCTAAATTAATCCATGTCAGCTGTCAATGTCTTTATAACGTGACTGGCAACTTGACAGTGACTCCTTCATAAATGCCAAATTGGAATATTGTGTTGTTTTTGCGGTAATCATAAATAAAAATATTAGAAATTGGTATTAAAACGTTACATTTCTTCGTACATATATATAATATGTTTTAATGAATACAATAAGGATTTACCACCTCTAGGTAATGAGTCGTAGCCTAGTGTTTCTAGTGTGTATATAAAGCAGATTTAACATGAGTAAACATGATAAAAAACCGAACAACGATGGTAAGTGTTTTACGATTTTCTCTTTTTTTTTCTGTATTACGCATGTTTGGCTGAATTAGCCTTTATATGTTTCGTTTATGTTTACGTGTCCTTTACGTCCTATTTAAGTTGTGTAGAATAACCTAAAATTTACTTCAAATATTTATTATGTGGATCTTTTTTATTCGTGTTGTAAACGTAATGTACACTAGACGAAAAATTCGATGATCGCTGTATTCTGACTGGACAATGAGGTTTGTGTAGGGTAAAGGTTACAGTTAGTGCTTAGAGTTAGAGCCAAGTATATAGAATGAGAATGATTTACCGTTCTACCTCTAAAAAAGTTTTAAATTTTTAGCTTTAAACACTACTTTAAAATAGGCTGAAAATAAGACATTTTATTTGACTAGAACTTATGTTTCTATATCATATTAGAGTTTAAGTTTTTGAAATGAAGTAAAAAAAATAAATAAATGAAAAGATTTTTCAAAAGAAAAGAAGTACTTATTTGTTTCTTCTTCTTCTTACATAGTTGCAATCTCTTTCAGTATAACGTTAACTTTCAGCAAGTGATACCAATGTATTTAAAAGTTGTGTCGATGTATCTAAATGTTTTCTTTGGTCATGATATAATGGTACATAGTTTGATCAAAGAAGCCAAGATTAAACATATGTTTTTATACATTTTACAGACGTGTTTTAGGATCTCTAGATAAATCTAGATCCTCTATTGTGTACTTTTTATTATAAACTGATTGATTAACACTAACAAGCTATATTTTCTTTGACAAAAACCACTATTTACACTGCGATAACAATAAACATTGAAAAATCAATATGTTGTGTGTGTCTTTTATTATTAATTACAACATAGCACTAAAATTTATTTTATTAAAAGTTGTAGTGGTAGCTATTTACTATGTACATTAAATATCTTAAGTCAACAGTATAGGCACATTGCATATAAAATAATTATTCCTTATACAGTATATAATTGTAGTACACCATTATTATATTACTATTAGTAAAGCAGTTTTATTATGAACAAGTAGATTAGCTAGATGATAATAAATTATGCTTTACAACATACCAATGCAAAACAACAATATTTTCCTAGAGAGACACAAATATTTATCTGAGTAATGCAAATTTTTAACCAGTTATGAATGTAAATTATATGTTTGTATATCCATGTGTGTATTATTATGTTTTTTGCATTATTCTAATCTCGGGTAACTTAAATTCAGATGTCTCAAATATAACAAACATGTTAGGCTGGCCTCTACTTTGTTTTAAAAATAAATACTTAACCCCTTAAATATTTACTTAATTTGGCTCTTGAAATCACAGGTGTATCCAGTCATTATGTGTACGAAACTTTTGGTGCATGCATCCGATTTGCATACGGCCGATTTATTTTTCCTATACCATCCTTACGTGTGAATATCAAAGAAGTTTTGCACTTTGTACGAGCATAGTACAGTGCAGTCCTTGAAGCTATTACATGAGACATTATAAACATCGTTTAGATGAGAATTTATTGCTGTGTCAATATTAATTACGTAAGGTATGCGTACATACGCAAGTGCGAACGTCACCCGGGCCACTACGAAGCCATAATATTGTTCGTCAAACATGTCAATATTCTTATGGGGCATTGATCCTACAATATGGATTCTAGTCAATGCATCGATTTATAAACTCTAGTCCCACTTGAGCTTAATGTGAATTTCCGACCATCATACATCTTCAATTACCTATATGTTTTATGTTTAAAGCTGACAAATGAACTACATACTACTACTAGTAGTCAAATTAAAGCTTGACTTATTTTTATTAGATGAAAAGGGGTTTATTTGCATAAGCATTGAAATTTAACAAGTCGAACTGCAATTCAACGTTTTGTCGGGCGTGGTTGTCAATTCATCATAGACTGCTAATCTGTTTATAAAACGCGACATATTATTATAGTTCACCATTCTTATAATATATTGCATTTTCATAAACTAAAAACCTGTTCTACTCTGATTTAAAGACGAGGCATACAAGTTCCAATTTTAAGATTTGTCAATAATTATTAACTGACAGCGCACAGATTACCAGATTCTTTCTCCAGAGGGTTAGCGGTGTCAAGTGAGGAGTTAATTCTTTTGATAAGTTCCGTAATTAGTATGGTCACGTGCGGGGTTACGAACCCGCTCATAAAAATCATCGCACTTTGGACTTTCTCAATATCGGCTGTTTCGCTGATATGCCAAATTCAACGCAATTTTATTTGCAAATATAAGAAGCGACTGTAATAAATATTACGATTAATTAACTTTATATTCATATGGCTTTCGTTTTCTGTATTATGCGACTAAGTAATCAACAAAATTGCAGTTCAAAACCTACCTAACTAAACTTTCAGCGCCACTAAATATTCAACAAATACCTACATAATATATATTCACGTTTGTTTTTATGACTTTAGACAAAACTTCGATTGGCCGCCAAGGTTAGGTGTTTTGGCTTTTAAATAATAATGCACACATTATTTTTTGGTTTTAAGCACGTTATACATCAATATATAATTGTGATCCAGCTCGATAAATATATGTTTTGTCTGATTGTCGCTTTTCGATCGGTAACCCGAAATATTGAAACGAAGACGGAATTGGAACACTTCGCAAGTCAACACTGTGTCGGAGTACGCAACACGTGCGACATTTCCATACAATAGTGTCGCCTTAGCCTACGACCCATCTGACGTCGTTCACATGGACAGCTGCGACAAATGACCAATCGTGGAGATTTTATGATAGACACTCCTCGAACCTACGTCTCCAATAATAATTATCGATCAAACAATACAATATAACACGAGAACTGAATTGTAAAAGAATTTTGGATAACTTTAAATAATCGATGACCGGCGCTCGAACCCAAGACCATAAATATATATCTAAATTATGCACTTCACGTCCCCTTTTCCAATAAAAAAAAAAAACAATTATTTCTTATGTTGTAACGACGATTTGTATCATGAACTGCGTCGAAGTTGTCTTGATACTTTTGTCAACAACGTTTGTTGAATCAATTCCCAATGGAGGCATTGTCTCTTTATATTATGATACATTCTTAGGAAAACGAGAACTAGTTAAATTGTTGCAACACTCGTTGGCGATGTGGATAATTTTTTTCTTATTGTCGTGATAAAACGTTTAGCACCTTAGACATGATTATGCTGTTAATAAAAATATTTTATATGTTAGTACTTTACATCTAAGTGTGACTCTGTTTATATAATTCTACATCCTTTTAGATACAAAAGAGGAACATACCGCTTAACTTCTTTACGCTTTGCGTCATAACGTCGAGTAATAATAATTCTTACTTATTATAAAATATGAAATACATACTAGTTAAATGTGTTTTACTTTATACTTTTTATGCTCTAACAATGTTAAGTTACAATTTATCTAAAAAACATTCATATGACAATGACAGATTTAAGTTTTACTCACCCTTAAATTATGTGCAGTTGTTAAACAACACATTTAATATTGAGTGTTGGTTACGCGAATACTTCACATTTAAGTTAAACACGAAAGCCAAATTCTTTAACTTACTTTTAAATTATTTTACCGCCGCCCTGACGTTTAGAATGCTTTGCCGTAAACCGTCAAAATTGTTTTATTTCAATTTTCTAAACTGTATAATGTTTTTGTCATTTATAATAAGTAAATGTTAATTACTATTGTTTTTATTCATATGACATTTAAATTTTAAACGAAAATTAGTTTTTTTGAACTGCCAAAGTTATTTCACTCATATAGTGATAACTCGATAATAAATGTACGCGGAGGCCAGAGCCCATTTTCAATTTATCACGAGGTATTTCAGTCTACAAATAAAAGTGTATGAAATAAAAATATTATTTCATTTCTGGCTCAGATTCAAATAACGCGCTGCAAACCGGTATATTTGAATCCTTGTCCATTAAAAATACAGACAATTTCCGAGTCGAGATGAAAAACATCGAATAAATAAATATACCAAAGTCCAAGGAAACGCTTTTACGTAAGAGTGACGCGTTTGGGGGTCAAACATTAGGGGGCGTGGCTTGCGTCACTATCCAACTATTTCGAACGCGGTAGCCTGTTGTCTGGAATAGATCTCAACAAATATTTGCCGGCGGAGTACAAAGGCGTTGCAAGGGCAGACAAGTCGGAATAAAGTGGGAGTTTTCAGCAGAAGATGTAATTTAGTAGTGCCTAGTATTGGCAATATGATAAACGAGTCTAAGGATACACAGAACAATAGGCACATGAAGTGTCTACGTTAATTACAAGTAATATATTGATGTAGAAACTATAGACGCTAAATATGGAATCGTGACCACAAATTACAGTGTAGGAAATACTGGTTTGGCTATTAAACGGATAATACTTCAATCAAGGTATCTGATCAGTCAATGGCCATAAGTAGGACTTCAAAAACTTCCTTACAATGGGGTTTGTCGAAGAAGAAAAGCAGACATTTGGTAAAAAAGAAAGTAAAAATGGATGTCCGCTTTTACGCCTTTTTGTACAAAGGTCTGGCTCCAGAATTCAAAGTAAATAATTTACTTTGAATTCTGGATTTATTATTTCTTTCTTTTTTGCAAACAGCAACTTTATCATTACCTAGCGCTTGACATACTATTTTTAGATAGTACTATTCTTAGTTTCGTCAGTAATAGCTCATTTACATTTTTTGGATTAGCGTAGAACGTATAATTATCTGTCTATACATTTATGAGGTGCTACAGTCTCTCAGCTCTTGTTTGCGTCAAACATAGTGTCTCCAGTTCCTGGCTTTTCGAGTCACGCTCGACGTCATCTAGCCAACGTAATTCTGGCCAAGAGTGGCACTCTTTCGTGCACCATCAGGAAACACCTTCGTTAAACGTCTAACTACCGTTATAAAATAAGCCTCATAGATTTTTGTAACTTAAAATTTCAAATATAATAGATTGCACAAGGTCATAATCATAGTAT